CAGGAGGCTGAGGGAGGAGAATCATTTGAACCTGGGAGGCAGAGGTTTCAGTGAGCCGAAATTGCACCACTTCACTCTAGCCTGGATGACAGAGCGAGACTCCATCTCAAAAAAAAAAATCTCCCTAAATAAATAAACCAGGAAAAAGGAAAGATAATACCCATAATGAAAGAAAAATGTGCGCTGCCTCTCCCACAGTGACCAACAGCACCAATTTTGGGACATTTACTGTGAGCCTCAGTTCTGTGTATCATTTCTTACCACCTCCATTTCACAGGGAGAAATTGAAGGTTAGAGTTTTAGGAGCTTTTCCCCAGCCACATGACCCTGCTAGCTGTGGACTCAGGAATGGTCTATGCTCTTGCTGAGCATTCCAGCTGCCCCTCCATCTCACCCAGCACCCTGGGGTTCTCCTGCTTCAGACCCAGGGGCCACTGAGGAGCTGCCCTTTGCCTGATCCCCGGTTCCTGCGCTCTTGCGGCCTGGAGTCCAGATGCTGGGCCAGCCGGGCGAGGGCACCCAAGATCACATAGCTGCTACATTCCCTTCTAAGCCCTCCGTCACCCATGCTGACTCCAGCTCCTGGTCAGGACGGTGGCCCTGGGATTATCTAAATCCCTCCCTTTTCAGTGCTTTATGGGTTGAACCAACATTTGTCAGGAGCTAACACATGCAGACGCAGTGCCTGGAACTGGGGTCACAGGTCATACAAGCACACAAGTCCAGTGCCTATGGGGCTTACACACTGGTAGGCAAGATATGACTGATACAGTAAGACCATCCCACCAGGTGGGGGGAGGCAAATGCCAGGATGGCACCTGTGCAGGAGAGTGGGGGGCAGGAGGGGCCAAGGCATGGGACTGAGTGGGCCCTGCAGTGGTCTGGAAGGGGGCTGTGGCTTCAACACATGGGCTGGGTGTGTAGTCCTGGGTGGACACGCAGGTGGTTCTGGACTGTGGGAGGTGTGGTGGAGAGCCCTCACCTGCTCTTGGTTTTCCCCTGCAGGAGCCTGGGTCCAGGTGTCACCATCACCTGAGCTCCAAGAGGGCCAGGCTGTTGTCCTGAGCTGCCAGGTGCCCACAGGAGTCCCTGAGGGAACCTCATATCGCTGGTATCGGGATGGCCAGCCCCTCCAGGAGCTGACTTCAGCCACGCTCCGATTTGCAGCCATAACTTTGACACAAGCTGGGGCCTATCATTGCCAAGCCCAGGGCCCAGGCTCAGCCATCACAAGCCTCGCCGCACCTGTCAGCCTCCACGTGTCCTGTAAGGACTTTTATCCCGTCCAGGTGTGGGGGAAGGAATGCTGTCCCCTGGTCCTGGGCTTTGCCACATGACAGAGCCCTGGATGAGGGACCCCCTGGCTGGGTGCTGACACTCCCCACCCTGTGTAGACGCCCCACGCCAGGTCACACTCACTACCCTGATGGACACAGGCCCTGGGCGGCTGGGCCTCATCCTGTGCCGTGTGAACAGCGACCCTCCGGCCCAGCTGCGGCTGCTCCATGGGGACCGCCTCGTGGCCTCCAGCCTACAAGGCATGGGGGAACCTGCAGGCGGCTCTCCCAGGCTGCAGGTGGTTGCGGCCCGCAACACACTGCGCCTGGAGATCCACGAGGCGATGCTGGAGGATGAGGGCGTCTACACCTGTGAGGCCTCCAACACCTTAGGCCAGGCCTCTGCCTCTGCCGACTTTGATGCTCAGGGTCAGTGTGTGTGTGTGTGCGTGTGCGCGTGTGCACATGTGTATGTATGTGTCTCCTTTAAAAGAGGAGAGAAGGTTGGAGAGGGTTCTAGAAACCTGGGAGCATAGGAATAGTCCCCATTCCCACCCTTCCTAAGGGTGGCGGACTCCAGACCTGAGTTTCACACAAGAACCTTTTTTAAACACCAGATTTTACATGTGTGCCCAGTGGATAAAACTAAACAGGAAATTTCAGGGGAAAGTGCAGCAGGGGAGGGGAGGTCTGTGGTCTCTCCATTTGCCCCCCACCAGGGTCAGGGAGGGGCTCAGGGCCCTCCAAGGCTCTGTGGAACTCCACTTGGGACCACTCAGGAGCCAGTGGGCTGTCCCAAGCACGACCTCTGAGCTTCATTTATAGGTGGGCCACCTGAGGCTCCCAGAGGCCAAGGGGCTCCCCAGCAGTAGGGGCAGCTCACTCACACGGAGACAGGTGGCTTGCTGTACACAGCCTCAAGACCCTGGCTGGTGTCCTGTGCCCTCCCTCTCCCCAGCTGTGAATGTGCAGGTGTGGCCTGGGGCCGCTGTGCAGGAGGGGCAGCTGGTGAACCTGACCTGCCTTGTGTGGACCACTCACCCAGACCAGCTCACCTACACGTGGTACCAGGATGGGCAGCATCGCCTGGGTGCCCAGTCCATCCTCCTGCCCAACGTCACGGTCAGGGATGCTGCCTCCTACCACTGTGGTGTGCGTCCCTCTGGTCAGGCACCCCGCCTCTCCAGACCAATCACCTTGGACGTCCTCTGTGAGTCTGGCTGGATGCATGGTAGGGCTGGTAGGAATGGCAGCAACCTGCAGGGATCTGAGCATGGCCGGAACCCTACAAGTGTCCAGTGGGGAACTAGGTACCTAGCTAGCTAGTGGAGCACGGGAAAAGGGACATTAGAGTAGGGGGCACTGGGGTGAGTCCTGTCTGGGCAGAGGAGCAGTACCCCAGATTGGGCGATCAGGAGCCATTGGGGTGGGGAGCCAGGGACTTCTGGGTTTGAATGCCACCTGCAAACTGGCCTTCTGTAGGCTGTGACTCTGTGTAAGCCTCTCGTGCCCTGCAGATGCACCCCGTGACCTGCGCCTGACCTACCTCCTGGAGAGCCGTGGTGGGCAGCTGGCCCTGGTACTGTGCACTGTGGATAGCCGCCCAGCTGCCCAGCTGGCCCTCAGCCACGCCGGCCACCTCCTGGCCTCCTCGACAGCAGCCTCTGTCCCCAACACCCTGCGCCTGGAGCTGCGGGAGCCACAGCCCAGTGACGAGGGTTTCTACAGCTGTTCTGCCCGCAGCCCTCTGGGCCAGGCCAACACATCCCTGGAGCTGCGGCTAGAGGGTGAGGCAGGGCCCAGGCCAAGCCCTCTGAGATGGAAACCCACTGTGGTGTCTGGCTGGGCTCAGCTGATCATGGCCTCCTTGGTACAGGTGTGCAGGTGATCCTGGCTCCAGAGGCTACTGTGCCTGAGGGTACCCCCATCACAGTGACTTGTGAGGACCCTGCTGCTCTCCCACCCACCCTCTATGCCTGGTACCACAATGGTCGTTGGCTGCAGGAGGGTCCAGCTGCTTCGATTTCATTCCCGGTGGCCACGCGGGCTCATGCAGGCGCCTACTCCTGCCAGGCCCAGGATGCCCAGGGCACCCGCAGCTCCCGTCCTGCTGCCCTGCAAGTCCTCTGTGAGCAAGGGGTCCTCCGCCAGGGCTGCCCAGGAGGGTGGTGGAGGGCGCTTCTAGGCTTTTGTGGGAGTGGGCATAGAACTGCAGTGGGCCCAGGAACGGGCAGTTGGGGAAAGAGGATGTAGGTGCTGGAGAAAGAGACTCAGCTCTACAAGCCCTGCCTGGCAGTCTGCCCACAGGCCTCCTGGGAAGGTGTCACTTCTAGGAAGTGGCCATTGGTCCAGAGGCTTCAGCCTGGCCAACCCCAGGCATCTGGTCAATGGGCAGTAGCGGGTGCCTAAGCAAGGCCCCTATCTGTGCCCTGCCTGCCCGCAGATGCCCCTCGGGACGTCGTGCTGTCCTCCTTCCGGGACTCCAGGACCAGATCCATGGCTGTGATACAGTGCACTGTGGACAGTGAGCCACCTGCTGAGCTGGCCCTATCTCGTGATGGCAAGGTGCTGGCCATGAGCAGCGGGGTCCACAGCTTGGCATCGGGGACAGGCCATGTCCAGGTGGCCCGAAACGCCCTACGGCTACAGGTGCAAGATGTGCCTGCAGGTGACAATGACACCTATGTTTGCACAGCTCGAAACTTGCTGGGCTCAGTCAGCACCACCAGGCGGCTGCAGGTGGAAGGTGAGCGGGAGAGAGGGGAGGAAGAGGGGCTCCGATGCTGTAGGGACCAAGTCCATGAGAGGGGCTGGAGCTCCCATTAGAGCGGGCTGTCTGGCCTGAGAAAGCCCTGCCTTGAGAGGCCTAGTATGATGGAGGAGGAAGAGCTCCCACTGGTGGGGGCACAGATCCACCTTGGAGACTCCAGATCCCAAGTCAGACTGAGGCCTTCCCATACGTGCAGAGGCCTCTCAGAGGTCCCACGCAGATGCCACCCCCACAGACCTACAGATCCCCAACCATCTCTCTATCCTCCCCCAACAGGGCCGAGCGTGGTGGCAGAGCCTGGCCTGGATGTGCCTGAGGGCACTGCCCTGAACCTCAGCTGCCACCTCCCAGGTGGTCCTGGGCCTGTAGGCAACTCCACCTTTGCATGGTTCTGGAATGGCCGACGGCTGCACACGGAGCCTGTGCCCACTCTCACCTTCACCCATGTGGCTCGTGCTCAAGCTGGGATGTACCACTGCCTGGCTGAGCTCCCCCGTGGGGCTGCTGCCTCCGCTCCGGTCATGCTTCGAGTGCTTTGTGAGTGTGAGCCCCCTCCTCCGCCTTAGTCTCCTACATGTCACACACTCACCTCAGTTCCTCCTCTTCTGTCTGCAAACAGTGAGGATTTCACAGATATTGAGTCCTGGGTTGGAATCCTGGCTCTCCTGCTGACTGGTTGTGTGATCTTGTACATCTGTGACAGGGTTTCTTCATCTATAAAATGGGGAATACATCATTCATCTCATCTTGCAAGTAGTATAAGAAATAAATGGCTGAGCGTGCTGGCTCATGCCTGTAATCCCAGCACTTTGAGAGGTTGAGGTGAGCAGAACACTTGAGGCCAGGAGTTTGAGACTAGCCTGGCCAATATGGTGAAACCCCATCTCTACTAAAAATATAAAAATTAGCACAGCATGATGGCACATGGCATGATGGCACAAGATTACACATGTAATCCCAGCTCTTCCGGAGACTGAGCCAGGAGATTTGCTTGACTCTGGGAAGTGGAGGTTGCAGTGAGCCAAGATCATGATCACTGCACTCCAGCCTGGGCAACTGACTGAGTGAGACTCCTTCTTTAAAAAAAAAAAAAAGAAAAAGAAAAGAAAAGAAAAGAAATAAAGCATGCTGAGTATCTGGTACACAATAGGCCCTCATCAGTGTTGGTCTCTCACTCCAGTTTTCACCAATGCCTACACTGTATCAGTCAGCTATTGCTACATAGCAAGCCACCCCAAAACTGATTGCTTCAAACAAAAATCATGTTATTTGCTCAATTCTGTGGGCTAGGCTCGGCTGAGCTCAGCTGGGCAGTTCTTCTGTTGTTCACAGCTCATGTGGCTGCAGTTGTCCAGTGGTCTCAGATGACTGCATGCTCATGGCTGGCGGTTGGGCCACATGTGCCCAGCAGGCTGGCCTAGGCTTCCCACATTGTTGTGTTCCAAGGAGAGCGGAAGCTACAAGGCCTCTTAAGGTCTGGCTCTGAAGTTACACAATTATCACTTCTTTCTCCAGTTGGTCAAATGGAGTCACAGATTCAAGGAGTGAGGAAATAGGTTCTGCCTCTTAATGGATGGAGCAGCAAAATCATTGTGCATGGATACAGGGAAGGAGGAATTTGTGGTCATTTTCTGTAATCACCACACTCCCTTCCTCCCCACAGACCCTCCCAAGACACCCACCATGACGGTCTTCGTGGAGCCTGAAGATGGCCTCCAGGGCATCCTGGATTGCCGAGTGGAGAGTGAGCCCCTCGCCAGCCTGACTCTCCACCTTGGCAGTCGACTGGTGGCCTCCAGTCAGCCCCGGGGTGTTCCTGCAGAGCCACACATCCATGTCCTGGCCTCCCCCAATGCCCTGAGGGTGGACATCGAGGCTCTGAGGCCCAGCGATCAAGGGGAATACGTGTGTTCTGCCTCAAATGCCCTGGGCTCTGCCTCTACCTCCACCTACTTTGGGGCCAGAGGTGAGGGAAGGGGCTCCATCTCCCAGGCCACTCTGCACAAATGCCCAATTCTTAGACCCTTCTGCTGCAGCACGGCTTGCCTGTCTACTTGAAACTTATTGCTAGGAGCTCCCTTGCATGGAGAGAGCTTCAGAGATAAAGCAAAAGTTAGAAGGTTTCATCTCGGGTGGGTCCCCTTGGAAGGGAGCACTGGGGGCCTGCAGCTGTGACTGCCCTGAGCCCCACTCTGTGTTCCAGCCCTGCACCGCCTGCGTCAGTTCCAGCAGCTGCTCTGGGCCCTGGGAATGCTGGTGGTCCTCCTGCTCCTGCTGTTGGGCCTGTGGGCCTGCCACACCTGGAGGTGGGTCTGGAGCGGGGGATGGGCCAGAAGATTGGGGTGGGAAAGGCCACTTCATCCTCCCCCTAGATTCCCCCAGGTCCTTTAGGGGAACCTCCCTCCTCTCAAGTTCAGCCTGGGAAGGCTGCCTACTTCCCAGCCTGCCCCTCCAAGTTGGGAATCCCTTCTAGAACTGCCCCTAAATCCTCCTAGCTGTAGTTTTCTTCTTTCCTCCTCTCTGCCCTAGCTGTGCTGAAGCAAGGGCTGGGGAGGAAGAGAGAGGAAGCACCCACTCTCCATGAGGCACCCATGCGCTGTGCTGTGGGTGGTCTGGAGCCAGCCTGTAGGGAACGGGAGAGGAATGGGGGCAGGCGGTGGGGAGGGGAGAGGCTCTCTGAGTCCACTCTGGGCCTTGCAGAAAAAGGCGTGTTTATAAGCCGAACATGGGTGAGAATTCGGTGGAGATGGCTTCTCAGAAGGAGACCACGCAGGTATCCATTCAACACATGCGGGTAGTGTGATACCCAGCTAACCCACAGTGCTGGCTGACATCTGGAGGCTGATGCCATTTATGGGATGGTGCCTGGGACCAAGGGGAGGTTGGGAAGACTGTACAGGGAACCAGGAGCCCTTCAGGAGATAGGAGAGCCCTGCTTGGGACAGAGAGAACCCCTGTGTCTGCTGGTGGCTGGCGTAGGGGACTAGGGGAGACTTTCTGGACTTAGCAGCATCCCCTCCATTTCCAAGACACATTTTTCGACTCCCCCACCTTTGTTCTGAGGCCCCTCTTCCCCACTGCTGAGCCTGCCCATCACCTGGGCAGAAGTGAAAGTCAGTTTCTCCTCCCCTGTGGTGTGTCCTTCTGCAGCTGATTCATCTGGTGGGCCAGGGTTCCAAGTCACACTTCCAGCCATGCACACTCCCACCAATCCTCTTGGGACCCTTCCTAAGGCTGGAGGCCTGGGGCCTGCCCTGGCTCCCAGAGGCCTCCTGTGACCAGGGTTTTCTCTGTGGGAAGCTCATTGATCCTGATGTAGCCACATGCGAGACCTCATCCTGTGGCCCACCCCTGGGCTGACTGCTGGTGTCGCCTGCCCTCTGGAGAAGGTGGCCAGTGCCTGTGATGACTCCAGCCCGTGAATGTGAACGAGGCAGCGTTGGGTCCTGCCTGCCTCTGTGAAAACAGCTCTGTGACATCCGACTTTTTATGACCTGGCTCGAAGCCTCTTGCCCCCCTCCCCAGAAATGGGTGGTGAAAGGTGGGGATAAACCTCAGTCTACCCAGGAGGGTGTTGACCCTGGAGGATGCTGAGGAGCCCCGAGTCGATCATGTTGACCACTTCTCTTGCTCTCTCTTCTCTGCATGTCCTCCCTTCTCTCTATTTCTCCCTCAAAGGAAGCCCTGCCCTTTCACATCTTTCTCCTCAAAAGCCACCCTGGACTTTGGTTGGATTAGAGCATCCTGTGTCCTCAGAGGTTTGTCAAAGCACTCTGTATTCAGCAGAATATAGGTTAGGGTGCTGTAACAAGAGACCAAATACAGTGATTTCAACGTGATCAAATTTTATTTTTCTCTCTGGTGATAGTCTGGCTGTCATGATGGTTTAAGGTGTTGGGGCTCAGGATCCTTCTACCTTCCTTTTCTCTAACTAAAACATTGCCTTTGATTCTGAGGCTTACCATGGCCCCACTCTGTCCACATGCCCTCCAGCCAGAAGAGGGAAGAATGGAGGCCGAAACACACCCATGCCCATGGTGGATGCAACCCAGAAGTTGCACATGACTTTTCCACTCACTTCCCATTGGGTGGAGTATTGTCACATAGACACTCTGAGCTACAAGGGAGGCTGGGAAATGTAGTTTTTCTTTTGAGTCCAGAGGACATTTAGAATTGGGCTTCCAAAGGACTCCCAACTGTGGGCTCATCCCTGGGACTTTTGACATTGATGGGAATGCCACCAGCAGGCCATGTTTTGTCTCAGTGCCCATTTACTGAGGGCCAAGGTGTGCCCCTGACCATTCTGGTCATGGACTTCCTGGAAGAGGTGATCACTCTCACACTTAAGACTGAGGAAATAAAAAAAGTGTGGTGTTTTCTTATGGAGAGAGCATGCCAGGCAGCACAGTTGCCTCAGCAAACATCCTTATGCCAGATGTGGCCCCTGGAAGAAGAGATGCCCTCATTCCACCACCACCCCCCGCCCCCAGGGATGGGTTCTGCCTTACTGACACTTACAAGAGTGAGGACAGACACAGATGTCATCAGCATCCTTGTTCCAGCTCCAGATACATCCCTGTCCGTGACTGAGTGAGCTCCTGTCCTTTTCCCGGAGGACCCTATGTCAGGGGCTGTTACAGAGGATGAGTTACCAAGAAGGAACGATGTGCCCCTGGGAATCAGGGACTGACAGGAGAGAGCTCTCGAGTGGGCTAATGACTCCCCTTGCAGCCTGGTGCAGATGGTGGGAGGAGCTAGGAGCCCTCTGCTCTAGGATTTGGGCTGAAAACCAGAGAGAAGTGGGGAGTTGGCACAGGACCTAACAGGCTAGGAGGCAGTTGGAGGCCAGGTGAACTTTGTGTAGCAGAGGCCGCATCCTCCCTCATTCCAGCCCCATTCCTTTTCATGCTCCATTGCCAGACTCTTGCTGGGAGCCCATCCAGAATGTCCTTCCAATAAACCTCTACCCTATGACGCAACTGGAGTGAGTCACTTTCTTGCAACCGAAACAGCTGGGCTAGAGCACAGAGGACTCACATGTTAGTGGGGTTTATTCTCAGACACCGTCTGTAAGATGGAGCCGGGGGTGCAAGTTTCATGGCATTTATCACAAATTACCTTGTGCTGAAGTGATTTGTGTCCCTTTCTGTTCCTCGAGGCTCCGTGTGCTCGCATCTGCCACCCACGATGGCCAGCACCGTGCATGGCATGCAGTAGGTGGGCACGAACTCAGCACTTGTCTTGTCTACATTGCTGACAATGGGGAGGGAGGAGGACATGGACTAAATCCAGAGGTGGGACAGGGAGAGAGCAAGCCAAGTGCAGCCAGATGTTTGGGGGCTGTCTGGGGAGGAGAGGGTGAGGGGAGGACCATAAGCAGCCACTGAAGGGTGCTAATGGGGGAATCCAGGAACTTGGGAGTCTTCATCTGCTTCCATGTACTTCCAAGAGGACATATGTCCATCTTGGATTGGAGGGTCCTCAGAGGGGCTAGTTGTGTTCACTTCCAGTGGCCTGAGGCCTCCCAAGACTTTTTGTACTTTTAATTGAAGTGTAACATACAGAAAAGTTTACACATTATAAACGCAACTCAAGGACTCTGTCTCAAAATAAAATAAATAAAAATAAATGCATTTTGTTGTGTGTAAATTATACTTTAATAAAGTTGATTTGAAAATCCAAAGTAGTAGTAATTAGTAATAATCTCATAAGAACAGGCTTGCCAGGTGTGGTGGCTCACTCCTGTAATTCCATTGATTTGAGAAGCTGAGGCAGAAGGATCACTTAAGGAGGTCTTTTTTATTTTTATTTTTTGCGATGGAGTCTTACTCTGTTGCTCAGACTGGAGTGCAGTGGCGTGATCTCTGCTTACTGCAACCTCTGCCTCCCAGGTTCAAGCCATTCTCTTCCCTCAGCCTCCTCAATAGCTGGAACTACAGGCACGCACCATCATGCCTGGCTAATTTTTGTAGTTTTACAAAATCACCTCCTTTATAAAATTGCCTTAGGAGGCTGAGGCAGGAGAATCGCTTGACCCGGGAGGTGGAGGTTGCAGTGAGCCGAGATTGTGCCATTGCACTCCAGCCGAGATTGTGCCATTGCACTCCAGCCTCGGTGACAAGAGTGAAACTTTGTTTCAAAAAAAAAAGGGGGGGGGCTTAAAAGTTAACATCTCTTGCCATCCAAATTTGCACCAAGTAAGACTATACTTCAGGGATCATTTCTATAATTTGTTACTAGAGAAGTTTCTCTGAACGTGTAGAGCACTGAACTCTCAATAAACTAGGCATTGATGGATCGTATCTCAAAACAATAAGAGCTATTTATGACAAACCCACAGCCAACATCATACTGAATGGGCAAAAACTGGAAGCATTTCCTTTGAAAACTGACACAAGACAAGGATGCCCTCTCTCATCACTCCTATTCAACAAAGTATTGGAAGTTCTGGCTAGGGCCATCAGGCAAGAGAAAGAAATAAAGGGTATTCGAATAGGAAGAGACGACATCAAATTGTCCCTGTTTGTAGATGACACGACTGTATATTTGGAACACCCCATTGTCTCCGCCCAAAATCTTCTTAAGCTGATAAGCAACTTCAGCAAAGTCTCAGGATACAAAATCAATGTGCAAAAATCGCAAGCATTCCTATACACCAACAGACAGAGAGCCAAATCATGAGTGAATTCCCATTCACAATTGCTACAAAGAGAATAAAATACCTAGGAATACAACTAACAAAGAATGTAAAGGACCCTTTCAAGGAGAACTACAAACCACTGCTCAAGGAAATAAGAGAGGACACAAATAGATGGAAAAACATTCCATGCTCATGGTTAGGAAGAATCAATATCGTGAAAATGGCCATACTGCCCTAAGTAATTTATAGATTCAATGCTATCCCCATCAAGCTACCAATGACTTTCTTCACAGAATTGGAAAAAAGACACCTTAAACCAAAAAACAGCCCGCATAGCCAAGACAATCCTAAGGGAGAAAAAAAAAAAAAAAAAAAACAAGCCGGGGTATCACGCCACCTGACTTCAAACTATTACAAGGCGACTGTACTCAAAACAGCACGGTACTGGTTCCAAAACAGAGACATAGACCAATGGAACAGCACAGGGGCCTCAGAAAGAACACCACGCAATTACAACCATCTGACCTTTGACAAATCAGACAAAAACAAGCAATGGGGAAAGGATTCCCTATTTAATAAGTGGTGTTGGGAAAACTGGCTAGCCACATGCAGAAAGCAGAAACTGGATCCCTTCCTTACACCTTATACAAAAATTAACTCTAGATGGATTAAAGATTTAAACATGAGGCCTAACACCATAAAAACTCTAGAAGAAAACCTAGGCAATATCGTTCAGGACATAGGCATGGGCAAAGACTTCATGACTAAAACACCAAAAGCAACAGCAACAAAAGCCAAAATTGACAAATGGGATCTAATTAAACTTAAGAGCTTCCACACAGCAAAAGAAACTATCAGTAGAGTGAACCAGCAACCAACAGAATGGGAAAAAATTTTGCAATCTACCCACCTGACAAAGGGCTACTATCCAGAATCTACAGAGAACTTAAAACAAATTTACAGGAAAAAAAAAAACAACCCCATCACAAAGTGGGCAAAGAATATTAACAGACACTTTTCAAAGAAGACATTCATGCAGCTAACAAACATATGAAAAAAAGCTCACCATCACTGGTCATTACAGAAATGCAAATCAAACCCACATTGAGATACCACCTTACACCAGTTAGAATGGAGATCATTTAAAAATCAGGAGATAACAGATGCTGGAGAGGATGTGGAGAAGTAGGAACACTTTTACACTGTCGGTGGGAGTGTAAATTAGTTCAACCACTGTAGAAGACAGTGTGGCGATTTCTCAAGGATCTAGAAATAAAAATACCATTTGACCCAGCAATCCCATTACTGGGTATATATCCATAGGATTATAAATCATTCTATCATAAAGACACATGCACACATATGTTCACTGCAGCACTGTTCACAATAGCAAAGACTTGTGACCAACCCAAATGCCCATCAATGATAGACTGGATAAAGAAAATGTGGCACATATACACCATGGAATACTATGCAGCCGTAAAAAGCGATGAGTTCATGTCCTTTGCAGGGACATGGATAAAACTGGAAACCATCATTCTCAGCAAACTGACACAAGAACAGAAAACCAAACACTGCCTGTTCTCACTCATAAGTGGGTGTTGAACAATGAGAACACACAACAGAGCGGGGAACCTCATGCACCAGGGCCTGGAGGGTTGGGGGCTGGGGAGGAGTAACAGGGGATGGGGGGATTGGGGAGGGATAGCATTAGGAGAAATACCTAATGTAGGTGACAGGGCGATGGATGCAGCAAGCCACCACCATGGCACGTGTATAGCTATGTAACAAACCTGCACGATCTGCACACGTACCCCAGAACTTAAAGTATAATAAAAACCAAAAAACAAATTTGCACCGAGTAGGAAAACAAACCTTTAAAACATGAAACAGTTATAACTGAGGCCAAAAGGGTCTCCCAGGTCTGGCAGTCTATAGCTTTATACAATTTTGCCCTCTGGCCATCGCCAGGGACAAAGGGTTGTCTCTGTCAGCTGCATCCCCTTTTGCCCAGCAATGAAGCCCTCAAGACCTCCGTCTTCACTGGCTCCCTCCTCTTCGCGGGCCTGGGGCCAGCGGCTGGCGGCCGCAGTGGCTCAGAGACAGCAACCCTAACAGCAGCAGCCGGTGGTGGCCTGGACCTTCCTACCCCTAGGGGCACCCAGCGCAGGTGGATGACCCGACTCAACCTCCGCCAGGTTCTCAGGGAGCCTCTGGGCAGGACGAGGTTGGCCCCAGGAGACCACGGAAGAGCGCGCTCCCCGCGCAGACTTCAGCAGCAACAGGCGGCCTTTGCCCTCCGCCCCACCCCGCACGCCGCGGTCCTCAAGGAACCTTCCCAGCGGTTCCGCTCCGTCTGCACTCTGCCTCCAGGAGTAGAGGCCCTCTGAGACCGACGGGCCGGACGCCTGGCGCGGGTCACCCGAGGGGCCGCACGGATTCCCCTCTCCGCCCAGCTCCACTCCTCGACGGGAGGCGGCCGGGGAGAGACGTCCCGGCTCCCCCAGGGCGCACTCCGTCGGGGCCCTAGGTCAGGCTACGCGCAGGGTTGGCGGGGAGGGGCGGTAGGGAGCGGGGGCGGGAGGCCGCGGTCCCGGGCTGCAAGGGGCGTGGGTCGGCCGCGATCCAGCCCGGGCGGAGCCGGCAGCTGCAAGCTGCAGCCTCGAGGTCGAGGCGCTCACAGCTCTGGGCTGGAGGCTCCGGAGAGCTCGGGGGTTCCCGATGCAGCTGCTGCTGCTGCTGCTGCTGCTGCTTTGGCCAGTGCGGGGCACCGGGGTGCTTCCAGGTGAGGACGCGGGCGGGGTGCGCCCTGCCGGGCAAGAGAGGCAAGCTGGTGAGGGCGGTGGTGGGGGCGGGGGTGGGCTCTGCTCAGAGCCGGGGTCAGCGCCTGGAGGGTCTCACAGCCTCGGGACCTTATGAACAGGGGGTCAGGGCGTGGGGATGGTTTAGGGGGTAGTCTCCGTGGCACCTACCCAGGGACGCTCAAGTGTGCTTGGGGTGGTCTGGGGCCCGGACTTGCCCGCACTGCCCGGCTGCCACTCTGCCGGCAAAGCAGAGGGCATGGCCCCTTCCCCCTCGGGGGCAGCCCAGCTTCCGGCCCGCAGCCCCCTCTGCCTGGATTATCGCTCCCACAACCTCCCAGCCCCCACCTTGTGACCCGCTCCTGCACCTCCACCCCTTAGGACTCAGCGGGGCTCCATCCTCCAGGAAGCCCCCATGCCCAAGAGTCCCCCAGAGTCCCTCCTTTGCTCTCAGGCTGCAGAACTAGCTGTGGCCTGCGCCCTGCTCCCCCTCGTCCCTCCTCGCAGGGCGGCGCGTGTGTTGTTTATAGTGTTGCCTTGTTTGGTGAGCTAGAGAAGGGCCTCTGCAGACCGGAGGTCCCTGTTTAGCCTTCCCTGGGAGGACGGCAGCGCTGTCTCCTCGGCGCAACCCCTCCAAACAGAGACATTAAGATGGGACTGGTAGCAGCCTCTGCAAACAGGTGGGAGGATTAGCCAGTCCTGCACAGCAAGTGCCTGGCCAGGAACAGGGAGGGCAACCGTGGAGGAGGCGCGCAGGGCAGGGCCAGGCGGTGCAGCCTGGGTGGTGGCTTCCACAGCGCTGTGCGCAGACCAAACGAATACAGGGGCCCGCTCTATTCTGGCCCCAGGAGAAGGTCCTAGGCGGTCCACTCCTCCCTCCCCTCTGAGCCCTAGCCTGGGGCCAGGGGAGGCCAGGGGATCCCTGGGAGAGGGGGGCTCTATGTGCCCAATACCAACCTGGCTCTCTCGGCCTCCACTCCCATCCACCTGGTCACCGGATCTCCAGCTCTGCCTCCCTCTCCTTCATCCGGGTCAGGTGCCCGTGGCCACCATGTGTCTGCAAGGCTACGGGGAGAGCACCCGCACCACACCTGTGTCTCGGCCCACCCTACCTCCTTCCCAAACCCTTAGAGGCCTAGGACCAGCAAAGCTTGGTTCTCTACTCTCAGTCAAGTGCTCTCTCGGCTGAGGGACCTCTCCTCCTTCCCCTCCCCAAGATCCACTCAGACTCCTTCCCGCATTGGCCCCCCTCAGCCTCCTTTCCAAGGTGGTGGGCTCCTCTCTGCCACCATCTGCCTGATGGTAACTCACTCATCCAATCAAAGAGGGCTTCTTGGAGGAAGGGTATTTGATGCTTGGAGTCTGGGAGAGAAGATGGAGGAGAAAAAAGGAGTTGGGTTGGCCTAGCAGGAACTGAGTCACTTCCACAGGCAGCCATCAGCCCGGCAGGACTGAGGCCAGGGCTGCGTGGGGATGCGGGCTGTCTGTGCCGGGAGCTGGGACTGGGTACCGGGGGAAGGCGGGCCGCTGCAGGCTCTGGGTGCCTGGAGCCTGGCTCCTGCAGGGCAGTCCTGTGAGAGTGGTTGGGGCTAGTGGGGGGCTGGGAGCATTCCAGGGGAGCATTCCAGGCGCCTTCTGAGTAATGTTTGGCTCTGGGATTCCTCCTAGACCCCCCTTAGCACACCCGGCCTGGGAGCAGTGAGGCTGTGTCTGGAAGCCTCCCCTCGCCTTGAAGAGACGAGGAGGGGCCTTCTGGGCCAGAGTACCAAACCCCTGCCACCAGGACGGAGTCCCCGAGGGAGCTCTGGGCAAGGTGGACCTCCCAAGGCAACATCTGGCTGTTTTTCTCGGATGGTGGGAGACACAGGCATCCTCCCTTCATAGAGCTCTCACCCTAACAGCATCTGCTGCCCATCTAAAAATACCCACGGCTGCCTCCCTCTTCCCTTCGCCTCTGCACTGGTAGCCTTGGCCTCTTCCTTGTGATCCACAACTCCAAGCCTGCCCCTCCCAACAGTCAGGGGACTCCCATGTCCCCAGCTGAGCTGTCCCTTCCCCAGCCTTCTCTTTTCCTCCTTCTTGGTAGGTCCTCAGATCCAAGGATGCCCATCGGTGTCCCTCCTTCTCCAGGCTGAGCCCATGAGTGTTGAAGATGGAGTCTGCTCTGAAAGGCCTCCCGTGCCTCCCTGGGTGTGTCCTCTAACCCCCTTCGTCTGCTGTGTCCTGTTGGGTCCCCTCACCTGTGCTCTGTCTTCACTCTAGGACCTACCCCTGGGCAGCCAGCCACCGCCCGCTGGGTCCTGGATGGACAACCCTGGCACAGCGCCAGCCTGGAGGAGCCGGTCAGTGCTATGTCACCCCATCCTCTGCAGGGGCCCTGAGCCTCCCAGCCCTTTTATCCCTCCCCACATTACAGCTTGGCAGTTTTGCTGGGGTTCCCAGAACCACCATGTCACTACTCCTTTAGGCCCCTACCCCCTAAAGGAGTGGGCAGAAGAGGGCATCAGGGTTTGGTATCTAGATCTCGTGAGCCCGCACACATGGAAGTCATTTCAGCTTCTTCGGCCCCACCTCCCCTTCCCCGCCCTCCCTGGATGATCCGGCTCACCCCACCCTCGCCAGGCAGAAATGGGTCCAGGGTTTGTGGGGCCTGAAGGTTTTCAGGAGCCAAAAAAAAAAAGAAAAAAAAAAAAAAAACACCAAAAAGAAAACCTTTTGCAAAGTTGACCAGAACATATGACCCTGTGGACACACTGCTGTCTCTCTCAGGGCCCTGCCGCTGAAGGCCTGAACCTCCAGCCTCACTGGCTCCTGTGGAATCCACTTCTGGCAGGGGACAGTGGTCACTCTTCTGGTCCCCCCAGATGTAAGACCACCCCATGTGCTTCTGCAGGACACTGCCCCAGCCTCCTCCCGATCCCACCCTTCACAAGCTTCCAGAATAATCACGCCCCATGCTTGTGCCATACTAGCTGTGCCGCAAACAAAGAGGCCAGTAGCCGCGATGCGCCTGTTTTACAGAGGGGCAAACGGAAGCCGAGAGGTTAGGGAAACTGCCTGTGGTCACAGCTCTTTAGGCTGGAGCCTGAGACGCACTGAGCTCTGAAAGATCTTAAACCATTTTTGGAGTTTCCAGCCTTACTGTCCAAACCCAGCAAGAGGAAGAGGGAAGGCAGGGGAGCGTCGCCACAAAGGCTAGGAGGCCCCAAGAAACCCAGCAGCTCCCACCCTAGGGCCCTCACTGGGATCCCCTAGGCCCACATGCCCCCATTCCACTGGCCAAGCAAGGCACTGGCCTGAGCTTTGAGACTGTCCTCACCACTCCCGGGAGGGGAAGGCTGGGCACACTGGGTCATTCTGCCTCTGGGCCTCCTTCCCTGTCTGGCCTGGGCTGTGACCAAGAGGGGAACCCCAAAGGGGCGCTGCCTTCCCCCAACTGTGGGCCCTTTCCCCCAGGAAGCCTGCCAAGATGGGACAGGAGACAGAGTTGAGGCTGGGTATCTCCTCCCACAGCCAGAAAGTACTCACACTTCAAGATGGGGGGTATATATCGAGGGGCAGGGTACCAGGAGGGCAAGGGTAAAGACAGTAGAGGGTGCCGAGGGATGGGACCTCGAGTATGTCCTTCCATGTGGGCCACCGCCCTTCTCCCAGTGCACATCTTTCCCCAGCAAAGCAAGTGGCATTCCAGCCATATGAGCTCATGTTGGAGGCCTTGTGGGGCCTGTGGCCAGGGGGGCAAGGGCAGTCTGCTCCCCACCTGCAAAGGAAGAACTCCCCCCAAAGACTCGGAGACCCTGGGCCCCAGCCCAGTGCATTTTTTGAGAAAAGGAGTCAGGGGTCAAACATTCCAAAGCACAGCAGCCTCCAAGGAAGCTCCTGGACCCCCAGCCAGGCTGAGTGGACAAGGGGGAAGTGGGGTGTTCCCACAGGGTGGGAGAGGCCAAGAGGGTGTGGGAAGGAGAGAGAGTTGGCAGACCAAGCCAGGCTCCTGACACCTAGCTGAGAGTTGATGTGCTCTTTGGCTGGAATGGGGTTCATATTTACTTCATGGGTCCAGTGAAGCAGGTGTTGGGGCGGGAGGGACAGGGGCTGCTGGAGGCCCAGGAAAACTTTGGAAGAAGGGCAATTTGCCAACATTGGAAGTGGAGGGGTAAAGTTTGAATTCTATAGGGAATGAGCGGCAGCACGATCTGGAAGCAAGCCTCAGGTGGCGGAGACTGTGAGGAGGCCCTGCCACGCTGCCCGATGCCCCCACAATGTCCTTAGCACCCCTCTGTCTTCCCCTGCTTTTGATGCCCCTTCTGAGTATGAAAGAAGAGGGTGGGCCAGGGGAAGGGCACCTTTCTGGGGCCTCTGATCTCTAGGGAGGATGTTGGTGCGCCTGGCAGGCTGTGCTCTCGCCCTTCCAAGGGGCTGTGTCAGGACAGAAAACATCCTGAGCGTGGGAACATCTTTGTATGTTCTCACCTCCTCCCCGCCCTCCATAGTATGTAGGGGGTCCTACTCCCCCGACAGCCCACATTCTCCCCATGAACTTCCTCCCCAGCCAGTTCCACAGGCCACCTGCTCCCTGGCAGGCAGGAGGCCTGGAGGCCACCATCTCAGCCCCGTGCTCCTCCTTGCCCAGGTCTGGAGGCCAGATGTGGGACTGGTGGCCCTGGAGACTGAAGGCCAGGAGCTCCTGCTTGAGCTGGAGAAGAACCAGTGAGTGCCAGGCTGGGGCAGGGCTGGGAGCTGAGAACAGACCCACTGGAGAGGATCAGTGCAGGGAGCGGGGACTGATGTGGATCTGTGCGGGTGGCTGGATGGGCACCCTCAGAGAGGGTGCAGGTGACAGGGAGAGTCACGCAGGCCTGTGGCTGGCCCCCTGAAGGCTGAAGAGGACTGTGGAGGCTGTCAGCCTCTCTGTGGGGCACATCGGTCCTCTCAACCCCAGGAGTGGCTTGTCAGCTCCCTGCCGGAGATGAGTGAGCACCACCTAGTGGACATTTGCAAGATATGCTGAATCAAAAGAAAATCGTAGATGGATCTCAAAGAGGAGTGGGCACTCCAGGCCAAGGGAACAGCAGGGACAAAGATGCAGTGGCTTTAGGAGGGTGAGGTGGGTGGACCACCTGAGGTCAGGTGTTTGAGACAATCCTGGTCAACATGGTGAAAACCCATCTCTACTAAAAATACAAAAAATTAGCCCGGCATGGTGACGCGCACCTGTAATCCCAGCTACTCAGGGGGCTGAGACAGGAGAATCACTTGAATCCGGGAGGCGGAGGCTGTGGTGAATGGAGATCCCGCCATGCACCACTCCGGCCTGGACAACAGAGTGAGACTCCGTGTCAAAAAAAAAAAAAATAAATAAAAAGCTGCAGTGGCTACACTCGGGGGCAGCAGTTTGTCTGACCTGCCTGGAAGGTCTCCACCTGCAGGGAGGGGAGCAGGGGGAATGAATTTGGGAAGGACAGATCACAGAAGGCCATTTTAGTGCTCTGTGTCCAGAGCCAAAGATTTTGAGGAACAGTCAGGGCTGTGCTCAGGGTGGCGCCTCGGCTGGGTGGAGCGGGTGTCCGAGATGGAGCACGGGCTCTTGAAACCATCCAGACTGTGTTACCAATAGATATCCCCTACTGAGTGTTTGTTTGACCTCAGGCGCTATTCTGAGCACTCAACATGTGTTTTAGTCTCCTTGTGGAGTCGGACGGACTGGGAACAAACTCTAGTTCCACTGTGCCCAACCATATTTTCCCTGGGGCCAACGTCCCTACCGTTTCAAAGGGGTAGTCACATCACCTACCTCCTAGCGTGGCAGGGGTGGGGAGCAGAGCTGGGGCAGGTGGGAGAATTCCGGGAAGGTGGAAGCAGCCGTCATTTGGGGGTGGTCTGGAGGTAATGAGACCAAGGTGAGTTTGGGGTAAAGGATTTTCTTTAAAGAAGAGAGACTGACTTATGATTGATCCATCCATGTAGGAAGGATCCTGTTGAGATGAAGCCTAAAAATGGAATCATTACCCAAGTGGGGTCTGGAGAATGCGGGGAGGGCAGGAGCAGGCGTGGGCAGTTGGAGATTCTGTTTTTTCTGGAGGCAGGGGGTGTGCATCAATCACTGAAGGACAGGCGGGAGGCTTGTGGGGTATAGAAGTCTGAGGAAAATATTTTAAGGATCTAGGGCAAGTTGGGGCGAGAGGGTTGACAAAGGAGGGCAGCAGGCAGGGGAACCTGGGGAGTTCGCCGTGTTTCCCTGACTCCAAGTCCCATTCCTTGGCAGTGTCTCCTGACTCCTCCCCTCCCGACCTGTGGATCCAGCTGCCTGCTGCAGGTCCCCTGGGGACCACAAACTCTTCCGCTCTTCCCGGTGTCCTCCCTGGCACTTCCCATACTCGCAGCTCCCACAGCTAAGCCATCACCAAGGCTCCTTCCTCTAGCCCCAAGTGTTCCTGACCTGAGCAAGCCACCATTGCTCCTGTCCCTTCCCTAAGATACACTGAGTGCCTCACTCATAAAGCTGCTCCATTAGCATTTAGGGAGGAAGGCTGGGAGACATCCTGGAGGAGGCAGAAGGAGGCCGAATTCAATGCTCCCTGTAATACCCCTTCCCAGCAGGCTGCTGGCCCCAGGATACACAGAAACCCACTATCGCCCAGATGGTCAGCCAGTGGTGCTGGCCCCCAACCACACGGTGAGATGCTTCCATGGGCTCTGGGATGCACCCCAGAGGCACCCCCCACCATTCCTGCCCTGCTCCTCCTTGCACTCCTAAGGGGAGGTTGGAGCCAGCCCCCACCCTGCCCTCCCTCTTGCCCTCTTGCTCAAGCCCTGGCTGAGATTTGGGGCTGGTCCCTTTCTCCCTAGGATCATTGCCACTACCAAGGGCGAGTGAGGGGCTTCCCCGACTCCTGGGTAGTCCTCTGCACATGCTCTGGGATGAGGTGAGTTCCGGAGAGGGGGCTGGGCCTGAGATGGGGAAAGACCTCCCTCACACCCGCTCCTACCCCTCTGCACCCTAGTGGCCTGATCACCCTCAGCAGCAATGCCAGCTATTACCTGCATCCCTGGCCACCTCAGAGCTCCAAGGACTTCTCAACCCACAGGATCTTCCGGATGGAGCAGCTGCTCACCTGGAAAGGAGCCTGTGGCCACAGGGATCCCGGGGACAAAGCGGGCATGGCCAGCCTTCCTGGTGCTCCCCAGAGAAGGGTCAGGGTGTGGAGGAGATGGGAGTGGGAATTTGATTTGGGGGGCTGTGGATACAGCCATAGCCCTCCAGATCGGAAGAGACAGGAATTCACAGGCCTCAAGCCAGGGCCTCATGTCCCAGTTTTTTGTTTTTTGTTTTTTTTGAGACAGAGTTTTACTTTTGTTGCCCAGGCTGGAGTGCAATGGCCAGATCTCAGCTCACCATAGCCTCTGCCTGCCCGGTTCAAGCGATTCTCCTGCCAGAGTAGCTGGGATTACAGGCATGCACCACCATGCCTGGCTAATTTTTTGTATTTTTAATAGAAGGGCTTCTTCATGTTGGTCACTCTGGTCTTGAACTCCCAACCTCAGGTGATCTGACCGCCTCAGCCTCCCAAAGTACTGGGGTTACAGGTGTGAGCCTCCGCGCCCAGCATGTCCCAGTATTTTTATTGGAGCCTGAGGAAACATCTTCTAGGACACATGCTAAACTGTTCTTTCTGGGAGCTGGGGTTGGTGGTCAGGGCTGGAGCCCAGCGGCTTCCATTCAGAGTCCCCATTCGCCCCTCCGCAGGACAGGCGAGAAGCACACAGGACCCCGAGGTACCTGGAACTGTACATAGTGGCAGACCACACCTTGGTGAGGGGAGACCCCAGGGGTTGACGGAGTCTGGGATGGGGTCAGCTCAGCCCCTCAAGCCACCAGGATTTCTGCCTTCCCAGTTCGTGACCCAGCACCGGAACCTGAACCACACCAAACAGCGTCTCCTAGAAGTCGCCAACTACGTGGACCAGGTTGGGGGCAGCAGGGAGAGAGCAGTGATGGGGATGGCGGCGGCAGGACCGGCAGGTGCTAGTGGGGTGCGGGGAGGAGGAGGGGCGCCCCCACGTAGGAGCAGCCGCGCGGTGGAGCGCCTGGTCCCGGCTTCAGCCCGCCCTACCCTGCCCCTCCCTCAGCTTCTCAGGACTCTGGACATTCAGGTGGTGCTGACTGGCCTGGAAGTGTGGACCGAGCGGGACCGTAGCCGCGTCACGCAGGACGCTAACGCCACGCTCTGGGCCTTTCTGCAGTGGCGCCGGGGCCTGTGGGCGCAGCGGCCCCACGACTCCGCACAGCTGCTCACGTGGGTGCCTCTGAGCCCAACGCGGGTCCCGGGAGGGGAGCCCTCGCCTCCTGGCCCCGCCCGGTCACGCTTCCCTCTATCCCCAGGGGCCGCGCCTTCCAGGGCTCCACAGTGGGCCTGGCGCCAGTCGAGGGCATGTGCCACGCAGAGAGCTCGGGAGGCGTGAGCATGGTGAGCCCCGCAGAGGGGGGCGAGGGGAGGGAAGGGAGGCCCAGCGGCCCGCACTGATCGCCACAGTGCACCGACCCCTAGGACCACTCGGAGCTCCCCATTGGCACCGCAGCCACCATGGCCCATGAGATCGGCCACAGCCTCGGCCTCAGCCACGACCCCGACGGCTGCTGCGTGGAGGCCGCGGCCGAGCCCGGAGGCTGCGTCATGGCCGCAACCACCGGGTACGTGTGTGGGGGGTCGGGGCTGCGGCGAGGCGGCTAGTCCTGGGGGCTCCCTCCGCCGCGTTTCTTTGGTCGTCCCTCAGTTTCCTCTTCTGTAAAATGGGATGATGATCATAGCGTCCACTTCAGGGTGATTCATGAGGTTTAAAGGGAAGAAGCGCAAAGTGGATTCTCAACGGTATGAAGATTGTTTTCGGAGTAGCCTGGCGAGGTTACTTCCACACCGGGAGGAGCACCGCCGGGTCCCGATTCCACCTTGGGTCCCAGGCTGCCCACTCTTGGGGCCACACTGTCCCCCGTCCCGCTCGCTGTGTGACTTTTCGGGGGTCACTTCCCCTCTCTGGCCTCTGCCTCTAGAGGATTTGAGCCTCCCATCGCTCAGGCGTGTCTGCGCATCTGGCGCCTGTAGCCAAACCCAGGGGTGGGGATCGGAGAAGCGCGGGGGTTGTGGGGCTGTCCCTCCAAGCCCAACGCCCTCCCCACCCTGGTAGGCACCCGTTCCCACGCGTGTTCAGCGCCTGCAGCCGCCGCCAGCTGCGAGCCTTCTTCCGCAAGGGGGGCGGCGCGTGCCTCTCCAATGCCCCGGACTCCGGGCTCCCGGTGCCACCAGCGCGCTGCGGGAACGGTTTCGTGGAGGCGGGCGAGGAGTGTGACTGCGGCTCTGGCCAGGTTAAGTCGGCTCGCCCGCCCCTCACTCGGCTTCTCTGCCCAGGTCTGGGGCGCTGCGCCCTCACTTGGTCCCCCCTTGCTTTTCTGGTCTCAGGAATGCCGCGACCTCTGCTGCTTCGCTCACAACTGCTCGCTGCGCGCGGGGGCCCAATGTGCCCACGGGGACTGCTGCGCCCACTGCCTGGTGAGGGCATGGAAGGTTCAGGGTGAGGGTTTTGGGGCGCTTAGGAGCCGGCCTGTTGGCCTTAGCTAATTGGTGCCCTCAGGTTCCCCCGCTGGGTGCTGGCGTGGGTCGGCCTGGCCCTCTGGCCCAGCTCCTCCAGCTCCAAGCAGACTCTGGGCGCGGACCTCTCATTGCCCATGGCCTCTGTCTGCCCTCCCCACCACCCGTCACCTGCGCAGCTGAAGCCGGCTGGAGCACTGTGCCGCCAAGCCATGGGCGACTGTGACCTCCCTGAGTTCTGCATGGGTACTTCCCCGGACTGTCCCCCGGACATTTACCTACTGGACGGCTCGCCCTGCGCCAGGAGCAGTGGCTACTGCTGGGATGGCACATGTCCCACGCTGGAGCAGCAGTGCCAGCAGCTCTGGGGGCCTGGTGAGAGGACACTGGCACCCTTACACCCTGCCCCCCATTCTCTGGTCAGCCCAGTTTTCTGCTGTGGGGAAGATAGGCAGGGGAAACTGAGGCCCGCTGAGTGTGGCACCTATCCCGGCTGCATCCAGCCTAGCCCATGCTTCCTCAGGCTCCCATCCAGCCCCCGAGGCCTGTTTCCAGGTTGTGAACTCTGTGGGAGATACCCATGGGAACTGCGGCCAGGACAGCGAGGGCCACTTCCTGCCCTGTACTGAGAGGTAGGGAGTGGAGCTGAGTGGAGGGAGCAGAAGCTATGGAGTGAGCTTGGGAAAGGACATACTGCCGCTGTTGACCCCCCTCTGCTTCCTCCCCAGGGATGCTCTGTGTGGGAAGCTGCAGTGCCAGGGTGGAAAGCCCAGCCCACTCGCACCACACATGGTGCCAGTGAACTCCACCGTTCACCTAGATGGCCATGAAGTGACCTGTCGGGGAGCCTTGGCACTCCCTGGTGCAAAGTTGGACCTGCTTGGCCTGGGCCTGGTAGAGTCAGGCACCCAGTGTGGACCTAGAATGGTGAGCTTTGCCCACCTGACCCCTCCTTGCCACTTGACTCCCACAGGCAGTGTCCCCCTCACTGCCTGATGCACTGCCCATAGGTGTGCCAGAGCGGGCGCTGTGAGAACACTGCCTTCCAGGAGCTGCAGCGCTGCCTGACTGCCTGCCACAGACACGGGGTGAGAGCCCAAGGGGCGGGGGTGACCTTGGGGTTCCTAATCTCATGTGACCCTCTTTCCCTTCTCTCCCCTTTCTGCAGGTATGCAATAGCAACCATAACTGCCACTGTGCTCCAGGCTGGGCTCCACCCTTCTGTAACAAGCCAGGCTTCGGTGGCAGCGTGGACAGTGGCCCTGTGCAGCCTGAAAGTATGCCAGTTGGGGGCAGGTGGGCAGGAGCAGGGGGGCTGCCCCCACTCAGGACTCAGCCTCCCCACTACTCTGTCCCTGCAGGCCGTGACACCTTCCTGTTGGCCATGCTCCTCAGCGCCCTGCTGCCTCTGCTCCCAGGGGCGGGCCTGGCCTGGTGTTACTACCGACTCCCAAGAGCCCATCTGCAGCGATGCAGCTGGGGCCGCAGGAGGGACCCTGCGTGCAGTGGGTAGGCTCCAAATGCCTGCTTCCTGAGCCCACTCCGGGTTTCCCCTCCTCAGAGCTCTGCTGGGGCTGCAGGAGCTGGGGCAGCCCTCAGCCTTACCCACAGGCGCAGAGAGCAGCCCCAGAGGCTGTGGAAAGAAGTAGCTTTGAACAGGAGGTTCCAGTGGCCTCCCAGGCAAGCCAGGGGGTGGATCCCAGCACCCGATCAGCACTGCCAGGCGTGGCCCCCTACCTCCCATTACAGCCTTTCTCGTCCTCTGTCCTGCTTCTCCCACCAGGCGGCTGCCTCACCCTTGACTTCGCCCTTATTTCCCCGCTCAGATTGCAGCCCCTGCACCATGCTGCCCCTAGAGGCCTCTCCAGCCTCTGTCTCAGGAGTTTTCAGCCCTTTGCCACTTCCTCTGTCCAAATCACCTCTGTCAACCCCTTCAAGTTCCCAAATGCTGGGCCCAGCAGATTTTTTCACTCCATACCACTGGCCAGCTATGGCGCTGGATGTCCTCTATGCCAGGGCCCTGCCCTAACCCGGTTCTCTGTGACCTGCGGGGGGAGAGTCACATAATACTAAGCATGGCTGTCCAGGCACTCTGTGGCCATGTCTATCATAGCCAGGTCTTGGGAGGGCTCTGGGTAAGCCAAGGGAGATGGCAGTGTTTGGGTCGAAGATAGGGGCAGAGGGCATAACAGACAGGGGCAGGGTACCACCTGGGCCCCGGGTGGCAGCTAAGAAGACCCTGACACCGTGAGTAGTGATGGAGGGTCTGTGGGCAGAGGAGGAGGTGGCCAGAGCCTGGCATGTCAGCATGGAGGGGACACTGCAGAGGGCGGAGGCTGCTTCTCATCCCCAGGCGGGAGTTTTAGGGTAGGAGAGAATGCTTTGAAGGAACATCACAGGAAGTGGCAAGGCCCTGGGAGATGGGAGGGGGACAGTCAAAGATGGCTTGTAATCATCAAGGGCAGCAGGGTACCCAGCGGCAAGGTGAGCAGACACAGCTGCTGCAGTGGGGGACATCCAGGTTTCTTTGGAAGCTGAGTGATGCCAACATCTGGAAAGTGCCAGGCTGCTGGGTGGTGCCGGAGCCTGGAAGAAATGTTAGGACTGGAGAGAGGGGGTGCCAGCCGTCCTGCGAGGCATGAGGCACAAGTGGAGCCTGGGTCCCAGGGATCCCCTGAAGAGGGAGCTGGAAGGGAGCTGAGAGGGTGACTTGGAGCAGATGGGTGCCCCAAGAAACTCAGTAAATGCAGAACTCCCCAGGCTGGATGCCATGCTGCGGGAGGCAATAACCCACTCAGGGTCAATGTGCCAACTTCCTGGACTCTTATCCCACTGCTCAGGCCTAAGGATGGCCCACACAGGGACCACCCCCTGGGCAGCATTCACCCCATGGAGTTGGGCCCCACAGCCACTGGACAGCCCTGGCCCCTAGGTGAGTGAGGCACTAGGGAGAGGCAGAGAGAGAAGGGGAGGGAAGGGAGGGCAGGGGAGGGGAGGAGAAGGGAAGGGCTCGGTGCCTCCTGCCTCCTTCCAGATGGGCAGCACCCAGTCACCTGGAGTCCCCTGTTGCCCCACCCCAGCCCCCGGGACTCCTACTGACCATATTCACAGCACTCACCCTCCACTATTGCTCCCAGGCCCTGAGAACCCTCCTGAGCCCAGCAGCCACCCCGAGAAGCCTGTGGCCCACAGCTCCGCCTGACCCGAATGTAGGCGGGGACGCGGATTCAAAGCCTTCCCCTCCCATCGCCCACTCTCCCACCTCTCCCATCCTTCAGCTCGATGCCCCCAATCAGGTTTCTGGGCACGAGTTTATGACCTCTCGAAGAAGCTGTTATCATGGAGACCAGAATGCTGGAAACCCCTGGGCTGGGGAGGGAGAAGCTGTGAAAAGCCTCACTGAGGACAGACTCCCTGCCTCACAGCTTGCAGGCTGGAGCCCAGTCCTTAGGGGACAACATATCCTCCTCCTTCTCAGCAGATCAAGTCCAGATGCCAAGATCCTGCCTCTGGTGAGAGGTAGCTCCTGAAATGAACAGATTTAAAGATAGCTGGCCACTGACAGCCACTCCAGGAACTTGAACTCCAGGGGCAAAGCCAGTGAATCACCGGACCTCCGGCACCTTCAGGAGCTTGGAAGTTTCTTCCTCACTGGAGCTCCGACCTACCCACTCCAGGACCCCAGAGCCTCATTAGAAGCTGCCCAATGGAGACCCCTCTCCTGAGGGGTAGGGGACACTGTTGGACACACCCTCCAGCTCAATAATCCATCAGTCCCAGAGGCAAAGGTCACACAGCCCCTGACCTTCCTCACCAGTGGAGGCTGGGTACTGCTGGCCACCCGAAAAGGCCTCTGTCCCGTGAGGCTGGTGTGTCTCCTACATGCAATTTCCACAGACCCAGCTCTGTGGAGGGCATGACTGCTGGCCAGAAGCTGGAACTCTGGGGCCCCTATGGTTCCACTGAGTCCACACTCCCCTGGAGCCTGGCCCCTGCAAACAAACCCAATTTTGGGGACCTTCCTTCCTGTTCCTTCCCACCCTGTCTTCTCCCCTAGTTGGTTCCTCAACCCCCACCCCCAATCCCAGTGCTGCACCTGAGGTTCTGGAGGAACCTGGAGTCTGACAGCCTCTCCCCCATTCTGTGTGTGGGAGGGGACAGAGGGAACCATTTAAGAAAAGATACCAAAGTAGAAGTCAGAAGAAAGACATGTTGGCTAGGCGTGGTGGCTCATGCCTGTAATCCCAGCACTTTGGGAGGCAGGAGTAGGAGGATCACTAGAGGCCAGGAGGTCAACACCAGTCTAGACAACATAGCAAGACCCCATATCTACAAAAAAATTTAAAACTTAGCTGGGCATGGCAGTGTGTGCCTGTAGGCCTAGCTGCTCAGGAGGCTGAAGCAAGAGGATCACTTGAGCGCAAGAGTTCAACACTGCAGTGAGCTATGATGGCACCACTGCACTCCGGCCTGGGTGACAGAGGAAAAAGAAATTTTAGGCCAGGCGAGGTGGCATACACCTGTAATCCCAGCACTTTGGGAGGCTGAGGAGGGCGGATCATGAGGTCAGGAGTTTGAGGTCATGATGACCAACAAACAGCCTGGCCAACATGATGAAACACCATTTCTACCAAAAATATAAAACATTAGCTGGGTGTGGTGGCATGCACCTGTAATCCCAGCTACTCGGAAGGTTGAGGCAGGAGAACTCCTTGAGCCCAGGAGGCGGAGGGTACAGGGAGCCGAGATCGGGCCATTGCACTCCAGCCTGGGCAACAGAGCGAGACTGTCTCAAAAAAAAAAGAAAGAAATTTTAAAAAGACATGTTGCACTTGGACCTCAGTTAGTTTTTTTTCCTGTATAAATTCAACCCTACCAAGTGCCCTGAGGACCACAAGGGGTGGTGGCTGGCAGGCTGAGCCCAGATGGCAGCCAGGGCCCCAGCTGTGTGTTTGGGCACAGGACGGTGCTGCCTACTTTGAACACCCTCTTTGCCCTGTCACTCCACACTCCCTTGGGCGTTCACATTCTCCCTTTGCTTCATGCAAGAGCTGTCAAGTGGCCTGTATCAGCCAGCTGATGCCACATACCAAAACCATCCCCAAACTGATTTCGAGGAGGCAGCCTCAGTGCAGGCTCCACTCCACAAGCCCAAGGGCCTGGGTGAGAGTGCTCTCTAAAGACCCCCTCCTGCCTCAGTTGTATCTGCAACATTTTAATTTATGAAGGTGACTGAATGATGACACAGAGGGGCCGATGCCACTGAAAGAGGTTATTACAGTTTCCCACCATGCGGGGCCACAGTGGGGCAGGAGGCACCAGGTTTGGTCCAGGGACAGAATCAGGAGCAAGGGGAAGGCAGAGGCACAGCCCTCATTGACGTCTCCACTGGAAAGGCAAGGCAGGCCGGGGAACGGGGTAGGACCAGCCTTTTGAATCATCCTGGTGGGCTCTGGGGTGTGGGGTTGGGCTCTAGCTGTCTGGGTCAGTACCTGGCCCTGGGCTGGTTTAGGGCAGGGGAAACACTGGCTTGGGACATGAGAGTTCCTTGAAGGGGGTGGTTGGTGTATGGAGTTCAGATTGGTTGGTTTGCATATGAAAGGCGTGAGTTGTTTCTGATCTCCAGGAATCAGCATTTTCTCCCCAGCCAACAAGCCCCCACCCTGAGATGTTAAACCATCATAAAACAGAGAATCTAAGGCCAGGCGGTGGGAGGATCAGCTGAGGTCAGGAGTTAGAGACCAGCCTGGCCAAAATGGTGAAACGCTGTCTCTACGAAAAATACAAAAATTAGCTGGGCATGGTGGTGGGCACCTGTAATCCCAGCTACTCAGGAGGGTGAGGCAGGAGAATTACTTGAGCCCAGGATGTGGAGGTTTCAGTGAGCTCAGATTTCGCCATTGCACTCCAGCCTGGGTGACAAGAGCAAGACTCTGTCTCAAAAAAAAAAAAAAAAAAAAAAAAAGGGAATTAAAAGAAAATTTTTAATCTCCCCCCCCCTCCCTTACCCTTCAGGAGGGGGTGTCTGGACCCTGCGGGACTCCAGCTACAAGGGACCCTAGGGGAGGCCAACTCTGCCCTATTGGCTATTCCCTAAGACTGCCCAGCACCTGCTCTGTCCCTTCCCAATTCAGTGTGGAACCCTGGGAAGGTCACATGGGACAGAAAGAAGGTGTGGGAGGGGGAGCCCCAGTCTTGGGGAGAGGCCTGTCTGGAGCCGGGGATCACCTGGCTGTGCTGGAGAACTGAAGAGAAGCTCAGCAGAACACAGCTGGCAAGGGGCCAACAGCAGAAGCAGGAGGGACACAGAAGTGACTGGAACGCAGGAGGGCAGTCATGGACCCTGAGGCTGAGCCGGGATGCTGAGGGGCAGAGTGGACATCCAGCCGGGAGCAGTGAGCGAGCCCAGCTCAGCTGTGATGCCCTCTCTTTGACCATCCAACAACAGCTGCTTGGGCTTCCCTGACACTCTGTAACCCAGGGCCATCTGTCATGCCTTCTTCTCTCCCTCCCCCTCCCTTGAGTTGTGGCATCCACAGACAGGTGGGAGAGTGTGCCTGCCCTGCGTGGTCAGAGCTTGGTTTTGAGTTTCCTTACCTCATCTCTCTTTCCTCTCACACGCCAGAACACAGGAGGATATGTCGGAGGCATGTGAACCAGAGCAACTGCGTCTTGCAGAGGGGCTAGGTAAAATAAGGTTGAGACCACTGGGCTGTGTTTGCAGACAGTTAAGGCATCCTAAGTCACAGGTGCTGTGACCTGTATCTTGTGCTGTCTAGGAGGTCAGCACAAGATACAGGTCACAAAGACCTTGCTGATAAAACAGGTTGCAATAGGCTGGGTGCAGTGGCGCACACCTGTAATCCCAGCACTTTGGGAGGCCAGGGTGGGTAGATCACCCGAGATCAGGAGTTTGAGATGAGCCTGGCTGACAAGGTGAAACCTCATCTTTACTAAAAATACAAACACTAGCCAGGCATGGTGGCCTGTGCCTGTAATCCCAGCTACTCGGGAGGCTGAGGCAGGATAATCGCTTGAATCTGAGAGGTGGAGGTTGCATTGAGCTTTAGCCTGGGTGACAGAGCAAGACTCGGTCTCAAAAAAAAAAAATAGTCAAGACAAATCATGGTAGGGCTTTTTTGGTCACTTTTTAAATGTAAGTGTTGAGACTATTTGAGACAGGGCCTTACTCTGTTGCCCAGGTTGGATGAGATTTTTAACCTTAATATTTACTTATAGAGTAACTTTTTGGTTAGTCAGAACAAGGCTGTATCTCATTCTGATCAGAAGAAAACATCAGCTAACTCAAGAGAAACATTTTACAAAATAACTGGCCAGAATTATTCCAAAGTGTCAAGGATGAAGATAAGGAAGGAACTCCCAGACTGAGGAGACGAAGGAGACGGCTGTGCTGTGGGGTCCTAGAATGGATCTGGGAACTGAAAAAGGAAATTAGTGAAAAAATGGGAAATGCAAAATGGTCTACAGTTTCGTTACTAGGATTGTACCAAGGTTAGTTTCCTAGCTGTAATGACTGGGCCGTGATTAATAAGATGTACCATTAGGGAAAGGTGGTTGAAGGGTATAAGGAAAACGCTCACATTTTCCAACTTTTTTGCTAGTCTAAAATTAGTCAACAATAAAATGTTTAAAATAGGCTGGGCACGGTGGCTCACACCTGTCATCCTAGCACTTTGAGAGACTGAGGTGAGAGGATCATTTGAGCCCAGGAGTTCAAGACCAGCCTGGGGAACAGAGCGAGACCTCATCTCTATTCAAAAAAATGTTTTTAAGTTTAAAATAAAATTCTATAAAAAAGGAAAAGAACAATGCTGTTTCATAGCGTTCCTAGTTTAGCATGGAAGAGACCAGGTCTCCCAGGGGGCTGTGTGTTGCTGGGTATGCATGGCGGGGCCAGTGCATTGGGGTCCATCTAGGCACATGCAGGTGTCGAATCGCACGGCTCCCAGGCTTACCTGAAGGTGCAGCCTGGGGTGGAGACTGAATGAGGGTGGGGAGTTGTCGCAGCAAAGGCTCCTCCCAGGGGCGTCTGCACAGACCTCGGCGTTTTCACCGTGCTCCTGCTCCAAAGGCACTAGGAAGGGGACGCCTATCAGACGAGGGCTCTGCCAGCCATCCTTCTCTGTTCAAGGTCGACCATGGTCTGCTGCCTGGGGCCTGCACTGCTGCTCCTGCTGCTGCCACTGGGTGAGCACCCCTCTCCTCCCCTGGACCCCCGAACTCTGGCTTCTCTGTCACTGCTCCTCAGTGACAAGGTGAGAGGGCAACAGATTCCAGGAAAAGCTGAACCACCGGAAGGGTTGCCATGAGAGGCCTGTGCGCAGGGCTTGGGGACACCTGGGAATTGACCCCACTATGTACTGAGCAGCTCGCCTCCCAGCCAAGCCAAGCCTCCAACCCCTCCCGAGTCCAGTCTCAGTGCCCCTGCCCCAGGAACTTTTGCCTGTTATCTGCCATCTCCCAACTCTCTCACCCTTCCCTCGGCCCCAGCCCTCCAACTCTTCACACAGATTCTTGCTGCGAATCTTCAGTGTCTTGAATCTGTTGTTCCACCTTCTTGGACTCCTCCTTCCCTGCACGGCCGTCTCGGAGGGAGGGGTCACTTTACCGGGTGTGATGTGGAAAGTGGAATCTGGTAAAGGTTTAAGGCGGAGGAGATGAGCTGCTGTGAGAGTGGAGATGGGGTAAAGGTGTTCTGGGCAAGGGTGGCAGGTAGGCAACAGGCAGAGGTGGGTTCAAGCCCTTAGGTGACACCAGGTGCTTGTGTGTGCGGCTGAGGCCCGGGGATGTGCCTGGCAAGGCTGTGGGCGGACAGCCAAGTGTGCCCTTTGGGGAGGGGAGGAAGGGAGGACTTGCCCTGCTGCCATCTATCCCCTCCACTCAGGGACCATTCTAAGCCCTCAACCTATGTTCATCCTTCCTGCAGAGGCCAGCGCTGAAGTCACAGCACTCTCACTACGCGGTCCAATCCACAGCCTGAAAGACACAGCCATTGCCAGAGAGGCACCCTGCTCCTAGCCTTGGGGCAGGAGACCACCCCCTATCCCCTGTGCACACACACAGGGAGAGGCATGAGAGGTGGGGCTGTGCACCTTCACTCAGGCTGGGCACCAGAAAGGCTTCTAGTCTCAAGGAGGTGCTCCAAACTGGAGGACTTGTGGGGCTGGGGGGATTTGATTAGCCTGGTTTTGGTGACTCAGGTCCTAGAAAGGGGCTACCAAGTCCCAACTTCGAGTTACCCTGGCTCGATTTAGACATAGCCTGTGGGGCATCTGAGCAGAGCTCACCCTTTGTCTACCCAACTCCTGGTGTGTGACTCTGTGGTGCCAAACACCTCATCTGTCCCCAGCAGGGTGCCACTTATCATGGGACCCAGTCACTAAAACCACTGATGAACCCTTGGGTCCTGTGGCTCAGGATAAAGCTCTGCGATGTGTCGTCAGGGCCCTCTCTGAATCCACACCCTGGCAGCCAGGACTCAGCTCTTCAGTGAATCCTCTCTCCCGCTGCTGGGGGAGGGTAGAGGGGCTGGGGGAAGGCAGTCCAGATGGGCCAGGATGACCTTGACTCAAGGGAGCATCAGGAAGGGCTAGGGAGGGAAGACACCGATGCAGGGGGCAGGAGGAGGAGCAGGAGGTCAGAACAGAGGGAGAAACAGAAACCGATAGACCCATCCAAAGGGTCTCCGTGGTGGGGGATAAGGGGTGAGGCGGAATCTGTAGAGGAGAAAAGGTATGACATCCCAGCCTGTCATTAAGAGACTAGGAGCAGCCACTGTCTTCAATGCCTTCTCTGTTTTTGTTGTTTTTTGGACATGAACTTTCACTCTGTCACCCAGGCTGAAGTACAGTGGCCTGATCTTGGCTCACTGCAACCTCTGCCTCCCGAGTTCAAGCAATTCTGCTGCCTCAGCCTCCTCAGTAGCTGGGATTACAGGCCCCTGCCGCCACGCTCGGCTAATTTTTGTATTTTAAGTAGAGGGGGGTTTCACCATACTGTATTGGCCATGCCAATATGGTCTCGAGCTCCTGACCTCAGGTGATCCACCTCGGCCTCCCAAAGTGCTAGGATTACAGGCATGAGCCACCGCGCCCGGCTCATCTCTGGTTTTCAAGTCTCCATTGGCCAGATCCCCAGAAAGCCTCATTGTTCCCCTGTCAGATAGGGCCCGTGAAGGTGGGAGGAGCCCCTGGACCTGTCTTTGGACTTGTGTGGCCGTTCTGGGAGTGGTAGTGATGCCTAGGAAGGAGGGGCCTCAGCTTCTGGGGAAGGCCTGGCTCAGCCTCGTTGCACCCTCTCCATCCCTGACGTGTTGCAAGGCCCTCGAGAGCCCGCCGCTGCCCATCCCCACGACAGAGCGCCGGTCTGTGCCAGCCGGCCCCGTCTTTGGGCTATACTCTGTGCCTCCTCGGGTTTTCAGCGTCCCCCACCTTCCGGGGGCATGGACAGACTGGGTGAAGTTTGCAGGCAGGGCGCCGCACCGAGACCTGCAACCGGCCCGCCCCTTTCCCAGGGTCGGTGAATTCGGCCGGAGGGAACCGATGTGTGGACGCGGCCGAAGCCTGCACGGCGAACGCGCTGTGCCAGCGGCTGCGCTCCGAGTTCGTGGCGCAGTGCCTGGGCCGGGCCGCGCAGGGGAGCTGTCCCCGCGCCCGCTGCCGCCGCGCCCTGCGCCGCTTCTTCGCCCGCGGGCCACCCGCGCTCACCTACGCGCTGCTCTTCTGCCCCTGCGGGGGCTCCGCGTGCGCCGAGCGCCGGCGCCAGACCTTCGTGCCCTCCTGCGCCTTCTCCGGGCCCGGCCCCGCGCCTCCCTCCTGCCTGGAGCCCTTAGAGGTTTGCGAGCGCAGCCGGGTCTGCAGGTGCGCGCGGGCGGGGGCGGAGCGGGGAGCGGGGAGCCGGGAGCCGGGAGCCGGGAGCCGGGAGCAGGGAGCAGGGAGCAGGGAGCAGGGAGCAGGGACCCAGCCGCGGCGAGGGTGGAGCGGGGGCGGGGCCGCGGCGAGGGTAGGGTAAGGGTGGAGTGGGGGCGGGGCCGTGGCGAGGGTGAGGTGGGGGCGGGGCCTCTCTCCAGCTCACCGCCCTCCCTCCCAGCAGGCCCCGCCTCCTGGCCTTTCAGGCTTCCTGCGCGCCCGCGCCCAGCGCCCCCGACGGTTGCCTGTGGGACCAGCGCGCCCGCTGCGTGCGCGCCTACGCGGGCCTCATGGGTACGCACGGCTGGGATCTGGGCGCGGGGTGGGGGCTCTCCAGGGGATGCCTCTGCCTGGGTGGGCCGATCGATGACCTCGCCGTCGGCGTCCCCGCAGGCACAGCTGTCACTCCCAACTACGTGGACAACGCGAGCGCGCGCGTGGCGCCCTGGTGCCACTGCGGAGCCAGCGGGAACCGGCGTGAGGACTGCGAAACCTTCCGGGGGCTCTTTACCAGGAACCCCTGCTTGGGTGAGGGGCCCGGGCGGAGGTGGAGGGGGAAGGCTGGGTCGGCTTACTGCCCCCTTCCAAGCCACCTGGCCAGGAGCCATTTAAGAGGGGAGAGTGGAAGACTGTCCAGTTGAGTCACTCTATCGCAGCTGTCCTTAGTATTTTATTATTCCTCACCACGCACCTTCCCTCCCAAGGAGCCAGTCTTTGCAGCAGGAGATCTCTCACTTTGTCCCCACGGAGCAGGGCCCTGGGAGAGCGTTTTCCAGCCAAGCACACCCTGAAACCCTCCCCCCATAGATGGTGCCATTCAGGCCTTTGCCAGCCGGTGGCCCCCAGTCCTGCTGGACCAGCTGAACCCCCAAGGGAACCCTGAGCACAGCCTCCTGCAGGTAGGTGCAGGGAGGGGAGGTAAGCTGGCACCTCCCCCACCGTCCCCTTCACACACTTCCATGCTGGGTGGGCCTGGGTGGAGGCATGAGGGGCCTGGGGTGGGGGTGCAGGCAGAGGGCAGAGCCAGTCTTCTGCCTCAAGTCTGCACTCGGCTCCCACCCTCAAGGTGTCTTCCGCAGGCGGGGCCCTGGAGGGGCACTCCCTGCTCTCCATACTCCCTGTCCTGGCTCTTCTGGCCCTACTCTGACTAGGACAGCGATCTCGGACAGCACAGCCAGCCACCCCACCCTGCCTGCCTGGGCCACCTCTGTGGCCTACTGGCCCATTGAAAAGGGACTGGCCTACCTCCCACAGCAGCGCTGGTGCTCTCACCCCGCTGCCCTTTGTAGGTCTGGACATCCTGTGTGCCATCCCCTGGAGCAAGGGATGTAGGCTGGGCCTTACTGCAAAGCCCCCACTCTCCCTGTCAGGAAGCATCTTGGTTGTAGGTCCCTTTATCCATAGACCTTGAGACAATTGGGGTCTCTCAGAAGGTGAATCAGTAGAGGGTCACTTCTGTAGCTGAAGCCTCCCTGGAGCCCCAGATCACCTAGGGAAGGTCAGAGACCTTCCAGACTCCCAGAAATCTAGGAAATGGTATCAGCCTGCCAAGCAGATAATTCCCTAGGAATGCATTGGGCAGACTTAACAGGCAAGACCCCTTCTAACACTGCATCCTCCCACTGGGCGTTACCCACCATTGCCACCTGTGCACCATGAGCATGCTGGCAGTCCTTCCTGTTCTCCATATGCTGCTGCATGGGCCCCACGCTGTGCTCTGCCTGGCACTGGCCTTGTGGCCATCTTCCCCCTGGTTTCCCACAGCCATGGGAATGGCATACAGTGCTTATTAAACCCATGTGCACTGAGACTGACCTTGCTTTTATGTGATCTGTGACCTGGGAGCCTGGAGACCACGGTCTGCTGCAGTGTGTGCCCCTGCTGGCCTGCGTGACCTCAGATGGCCTCAGAACGTGTCTGGGCCCCATCACCTCACCTAAGGAAGCTGAGATGAATCAGCTGTCAGCTCCTCATGCCAGGGATTGCCATTGCTTTCATCTCTTCTTTCCTTCTCTACTAGTACTCAGATAATGAAACTATTTCCTAGCCTCCCTTGCAGCCGGGGGTGGCCATGTCACACACACTGCCCGATGTGGACCCAGCAGATGCCAAGGGTGGTCTGTGTTTCTGAGATAGGGTCTCACTCTGTCACCAGGTGGTGGTGCAGTGGCATGATCATAGTCCACTGCAGCCTTGAACACCTGGGGTGAAGCGATCTTCCTGCCTCCTGCCTGCCTCCTTCTTCCTCCAAAACTTGGAAACTCCTGATAAGAAAAGGGTTCCTGTGCCTCTGGCTGCTCCTTCTGTGGCAGGAGGCTGAAGTGGAGGTTGTCGGGGCCTTGCTCAGGGACTTCTCCGGGCCAGTACAGCACATCCCGCAGCCACTGGGAATGGTGGCTTGTAACAGCTCAGAGCTATCCCTTCTGTAGGGAACTGCACTCCCAGAAATGCCTGTTGGGTTTTACTCTGCTCCCAGAGGCAACTGCAGTTGGTGACTGACTGCCTCAAGGAACATGGCATTGTTGTGTGCTGTTCCTGGTCCAGAGCCCCTTTGGGGTAAAGCTGAGGCTAGGCTCCAGCTGGGACCCCTGCCTGGCTCAGCTTCTACCCTGCCTGCCTCCTCCTGCTTTCCTTACTGGCAGGCTCCCCTGAAGGCGTTCCCTCCATAAATCATGGCATTTGAGAATTCCTGTCTTAGGCTTGGCTTCTAGAGATCCTGACCTAAGTCACAGGGGTTAGACCACACAAAAACTCAGGCCTGGAGCTGTCCTGTTGGGGAAAAGAGCCACCAGCTCTGAGATCTAAGTGTGGACTTAGCAGCTCACACCAAACCCGCAAACACTGTTTCCTGGCAGCTGTCCACCAGCCTCTCAGCTTCAGTCAGGGCTCTCTTTTTTTGAGACAGAGCCTCGCTCTGTCACCCAGCCTGGAGTGCAGTCGGCTCACTGCAACCTCCACTTCCCAGGTTCAAGCGATTCTCCCACCTCATCTTCACGAATAGCTGGGATTATAGGCTAATGCCACCATGCCTAGCTAATTTTTGTATTTTTAGTAGAAACGGGGTTCCACCATGTTAGCCAGGCTGGTCTTGAACTTCTGACCTCAGGTGATCCACCCGTCTTGGCCTCCTAAAGTGCTGGGATTACAAGTGTGAGCCACTGCACCCAGCCAAGGACTCTTGACTATAACAAACAAATCAGAGTGACTTGAGCATGTGCCTGAGCCATGCGGGCTTCAGGCACAGCTGTCTCCAGGGTTCAAATGATGTTGCCTGTGCTGATCTGTGTGTTGGCTTCCCCTGCGGCCAGGCAAGCTCTCACCGAGAGGTTAAGACTTCCACCAGCAGCCCAGCTTTACAGTGTCTCCTTTTAGCAGCCTCAGTAGGGAGAGGTACCTCTCTCTTCCGGCATTCGTGGACTGTCCCAGGCAGAACTCTGATAGACCCAGCATGGATAATGGGCCTCCTCTGTAGAACACTGAGTGATCTCAGCCCACCATGGTGACATGGAACGGAAAGGACAGTTTCCCAAAGGAAAAAAAGGAGTTGCTGGGCAGCGAAGCTGAGTCTAGCCCATTCTCACTTTACAAAGAAGATGGAATACTGTCAGGCACCCACACCTGTGTGAGAATGGACACCTGTAGGTGGGTTGGGGAGAGGCGGGGTATGTGCATTGAGTGAGGGCTCATCACCTTGTCCTGATCACCACAATGGCATCGTAGCCCAAATGCAGAATTAAATATCTGCTAAATGATTTGCCCTACATGAAAGTGTGTTCAACTCTTCTCCATTTTTGAGTCAGTTAATTAGAGTAAAATGTATGCATTAAAAAAAAAACTGGAGGAAGCTGGGTGCAGTGGCTCGTGCATTTTGGGAGGCTGAGGTGGGTGGATCACTTGAGGCTGGGAGTTCGAGTACAGCCTGGCCAACACGGTGAAACCCCATCCCTACTAAAAATACAAAAATTTCGTCAGGTGTGGTGGTGCATGCCTATAATCCCAGCTACTCAGGAGGCTGAGGCAGGAGAATTGCTTGAACCCAGGAGGTGGAGGTTGCAATAAGCCAAGATCATGCCACAGCACTGCAGCCTGGGAGACAGAGGACTACTCTGTCTCAAAAACAAACAAACAAACAAACTAGAGGCTGGGCAAGGTGGCTTACTCCTGTAATCCCAGCACGTTGGGAGGCTGAGGCTGGAGGTTTGCATGGGGTCAGGAGTTTGAGACCAGCCTGGGCATCATGGAGCCTGTCTCTAGAAAAAGTTAAAAAATAAATTAGTCAGGCATGGTGATATATGTCTGTCGTTCCAGCTACTCAGGAGGCTGAGGCTGGAGGATCACTTGAGCCCAGGAGTTGCCTGCAGTGAGCCATGATTGTGCTAGTGTATTCCAGCCTGAGTGACAGAGTGAGACCCTGTCTCAATAAAAAGTAAATAAAAACCAGAAATGAAATGACTTCAAATAAAAATAGAATTGTGGATTAAAAATATAGGCATATGCTTCCAAAAGATCGGAAAAATAAAAAGGACAGAAACTATTTGAAAATTATGAGATTGCCTCACGGCTGCCTGTGGTCCCAAAGATACATCCACGTCCTAATCCCTGGAACGTGGAAACACTGCCTTATATGTAGGCAAGAGTATTGCCTTCTGTGGCAAAAGATGCGATTAAGTTGTGGTTTGTTTTTTTTTTTTGAGACAGAGTCTTACTGTCACCCAAGCTGGAGTTCAGTGGTGCACGCAAAGCCCACTGTAGCCTCAAACTCACAGGCTCAAGCAGTCCTCCCACCTCAGCCTCCTGAGTAGCTGGGACCACAGGTGTGTGCCACCACACCTGGCTATTTTTAGTAGAGACAGGGTCTCACCATGTTGCCCAGGCTGGTCTCCAACTCACCTCACCCAAGTGAATCTCCCACCTTGACCTCCAAAAGTGCTGGGATTACAGGCGTGAGCCACTGCGCCCAGCCAAGTTACAGATCTTGAGAGGAGCTTATCCTGGATTATCCAAGTGGGCTGTCAACACCTGTATGTCTCACCTCTGCATCTTATAAGAGTGATGCAGAGGTGTCTAGAGGGAAACTAAACAGACACATTGAGCAAAAGGCCACGGGAGGACAGAGATAGGGATTGGGGTGATGCAGCCACAAGCCACCAGAAACTGGAGGAGGCAGGCACAGATTCCCCTGGAGCCTCCAGAGAGACTACAGCCCTGCCAACATCTGCATCTCAGACTTCTGGTCTCCAGAGCTGTGAGAATCAGTTTCTCTTGTTTGCAGATACTGAAGTTGTGGTTATTCTGGCAGCCCCAGGAGACTAATAGTACTGCCTAAGAACGTTAGAGTTTGGCTTATGTTACCTCTACCTAAAAAGGTCCTGGTTTATACAGTATTAAGTCTGCCCACAGGAATGAGTCATGCCTTGTTCCTCCACATCTGAATGTCAGCCTCCTTGTCCTGCCAGGGAGCTGTCACTTTCGTGCACGGGCTTTGGGAGACTGCAGTCCTTCCCCCAGACTACCCTCCCGTGACTGGCTGTCTGTTACCTGTTGCCTGGCAGGTGGCTGGGAGTGGGGGTGATGCAAAAAGGCAGGTGCTGGACACGTCCGTGGATTTATTGCTGGAAACTTCATGGCTCATGAACGCCCATCCTGGTGTGGAGCCCAGTGATTAGGTGCAAGGTTGAAGTGGAAACCACTCACCGCCCACCAAGTGAGTCAGGCTCACAGAACCAGCGCATTTTTGTATGAAATGTGGACACAGGTCAGTGAAATTTCCAGAGGGCCAGAAGGACAGGGGCTGTGCAGGGCTTTAGAAGCAGTCCTTCGACTGGACAGCAGCTTGCCTGTGAGCCTGGCACGCGTGTGAGCTGAAGCAGAAGGGCACGGCCCTGCCTCGCCAGGCCTGGGAAGGCCTGGATTAGAGGATGTCTGGGGAAGCTGCTCTGCTCGGGGCAAGTCTCACCACACCCAAATGAACCTTCAGTTCAAGGCAAAAGAGAGAGAGAAATTAAGAAGATGAGGACACACACTAGAAAATAAAACACAAACTCAGAATGGAGTCTTCAAGGGACAGAAACCAAATGTGGAAGGAAAGGCTTACAGGGCACGCCAATGGGCCCTGGCAACTCCGTCCAGCACATTTGAGACAGCCATTGGGATCTTCCAGGCTAACCACTTTCTTGTTTCCGGGACACAGGGTGGAAAGGAATTCTTGCTGGGGGGGCTGCAGGGCGTGTCTGTTCAAACGTGACCCATATGGATGCCAAGCATGACACCACTGTTGTTGACAGAATTTGCCAAAATGAAGACCAGCTGGTGATAAGTTTTAAGGAAAACAAGGTTCAGTTTTCCCTTGATTACACAGTAGTTGCATTCCTGGAAAACTGGCTGTATATTAAACCAGCTCTTAAATACTTTGTGTTTATAACTAGGTTAGGTTCTGCACGCAAACAACTGGGAACAGACTTTTTCATGCTCACAAATATCCAGCAGGCCCACCAGGCATGCTGCCCACTCAGGGCCTCTGCACCGGTCACCCCTTTGTAATGCTCTTCTCTCAGACCTCCACGTTCCTTCCTGCTCCCTCCACCCGTCCTTCTGCTCAGCTGTCAGCAGAACAGCTTTCCCAGCCACACCACGTTAAGCAGCAATCCCTCCAGGACTTTCTACCCCCAGCCCTACTTTTACCTTTCTTCATAGCGCTTTTCTGACGTTTTATTATCATCTCCCCTGCTAGGTTGTGAACTCCTGGAGGACATAGCTTTTTGTCTGTTTTGTTCAGTGCAAAATCTCTGGTCCTGATGCAGTGCCTAGCCCTGATGTGTTCAATAAAATTTTGTTGAAGAACTAGGTGAATAAATCTAGAGAATAATTCACTTAAGCAGGGTAAGAAAAGATACCTAATTCTACTGCCTTTGGCCTATCATGCTCTGTTTCACAAAGTCATTCAGGGACCCAGGCTCCTTCAGTTCTGTTGTATTACCACCTTCGACATAAGCCTTCAAGGTTGATGGAGAGAGTGGAAGAGACACTCACTCTGAATGGCCTTGAAGTGACACATCATTGGTGAGGGCTGGTCCCATGGCTTTCCCCAGACGCCATGAGCCCAGGCCATGCAGTTGAAGCTGTGGACTCAGGAAGAAGAAATTGAGTGGTAAGCATCTAAGCCGATCTCTGGCCCAGCTTGCCATTCTGATCACCAAAACCAGTTTTGTGCTTCCTCTCTCTCCTACAGGGGTCACAGGCACCCTCTCCAAGGGGACAGTACAAGGTCACATCCCCGCCCAGACCTCTAGGTGATGCAGTCTCCCTCAGGTGGCCCTTTGAAGTCCCACAAGCCTGAATTAACAAGACAACTTAATCCACCTCACACGCAGCAGGTAGTGATGAGAACAGGTAGAACACCTTCCTAAGCCCTCCTGCCCAGGAAGGAGCGGGTGCAGATGCAGCAATCACTGCTCTGTGGCATTTTTGCAGTCCTGCTGGGCCCTGCCCTGGGCTGGGGGGAGTCCTCACTCAGGCCCAGTTCTGCTTTTGGGCCACATCTGAGCTTGTCAGCTCTCGTGGACACAGCTTTCACAACCGTCTTCCTGCCTGAGGGTGGATTTAGGACTTCCTCAATTGCCACTGTTTTATTTTTTTTTAAGGCCTTGCTAATGGTTTCTTAAATTTAACTACATCCTTACTTATTTCCAGGCAGGTCCAGGATCAGTGACTACACTCGTGGTTTGTTCCTGGAAACAGTTCTCACATCAGCTTTTTCTTTGCTTCCTTAACCAGGTGCCCCTCCCTCAAGTTGGTGGCTTTGCAGTTTCCAGGCACCAGTGGGAAGACCACACCCTTCATTGGATGGTCACCACCAGGCCCTCACTGTGTTCAACTAAGTCTCACGGGGCCTTCGTTGCTCACCTGCACCTCTTACTGCTTGGGGACTAGAAGCAGTTGGCTTTTCCAGAATTGCAAGGCCCTGGTTGACGTCTTTCCACCCCTTTTCCCTTCTGCGTGTAAACTGGCTAATTCTTTCTTGGAGTAAACTTTTTCTTGTGATGTGTCGCCAAAAGCAGCCAATAATAATCAACACATAGGACGATGTCTTTTTCATTTCTTTCCCTCAAACCAAAAAGTCAGCAGGCATGGAGTTTGCTTTCTGAATTACCGAGTAAAACCGCCTTACCACATGTTTTGCTCCGCCTGGCAGAGACCTGAGTTTCCTGCCAGCTGCATCTGTCTCCTCACTGCCCGCCACCTGGCCACACGCTGAGCCAGTGCCACGTACTTTAGGTTTTGGTTACAGGTGCACTGCACTTCAAAGTGCCGATTTATTAGCGAGAATAAGAAAAGCTAACTGGTTTAACAAAGCCCCAGATCTCAGTGGATCAGTACAGTGCAAGTTTGCTTTCCAGTGATGCAAGGGCCAACACAGCTCTGACTGATCAGGTGGCCTGCCTCTAAGGGGTGACTCGGACTCACAGTCCCTCCAGTGTCTTTGACATGTGGCTCTCAGGAGAGTCCCCCGTGGGAGCATTTGTGTGCCAAGTTTGGAATTGGTGCCTGTCACTTCTTCCAACCTTTCCTTGGCCATGGCTTAGCTTGGTTCCAACCTAACTACAGGGAGGCTGGGAAATGATGAGCTGTGGGCCCAGTAGGTTTGGTAAACACAGCGTTATCTCTGACACAGTACCACCAAATCACAGGTTTCTATCCTGTTAGAAACTGTTGCTGGCTTCCACAGCCCTCCCTGGAAGAGTTTCAAGGTCCTCAACTTGTTTGCGGCTACTAGTCTGGCCATTTCCCTCCCCAAGTCAGACCCGAGCTCTGGTGGGCAGGCCTCCTCCAGGCTCCTGCCCTCACCTCAGCTCCTGGCCCTAGTACCCTGCCGCCCTCCCCTATAGAAGTGACTGTCTTCTTTGTGTTTCCTCCATCTGTCAATGACCTCATTCCTCTGGAAGGAAGCCCTTGCACTGGGAATCTGCTCTCTGCTCTGAGGTCCTGAAATGCATGACTCTGACCCATTCTGAGGGTAGGAGCCAAATAAAGTGGGGACGCACGGGAGGCCCCCAAACAAGGCCTTGCCAATGGGAATACCTTCATGAAAAAGTCAAAGCCAAGGACAACAGTGTGGCCATAGTTGAGACCTGTCAGCACACCTGAGATTTAGCAGTTTGGAGAGAACCTAGAGGCACATTCAAGGGCCCTTGAGGAGAGCGCGAAGCGGAAGGATAATGGCACCACTGGAGACAGTGGTGTGGTTAGTGGAAGGGTGAGACGGCTGTCCACACCCCACTGCTCAGAGCTGTCCCTGCCTCCACAGGCAGGGTCCCACACCAGGGCACAGCTGCCCCGCAGGCACACAAAGGCTGTCACGGAAAGTCTGTGGCTCACAAGTGCTTGAAGGGGTGTCTGGGGTGCCTGCAGGGGTTTTAGCTTTCACCTCCGTAACTGTCAAGTGCTCCCTCAGAGGCAGTCTGAAAACTGGTAAAAGCTTAAATACAGGCAAAACAATGCAAAATCAAAATGAAACACTCAGAACAAAAGCCACATTTTTACCAGATCTACTTTTATTTCAGAAGGAAGTTTGTATTATTTACTTTTGTTTATATACAAGTTCTTCACATTTGTGTTTAAAATGCACAGACCTCCCTTAGTTCTCTTGTTCCTGCTTAAATTAGCCGTTATTTTACAATACAAAAAATACCAAAAAATTGCAGTCCTAAATGTATGTATAACACCCACAATCCCCAGCAATGAAATAGTTTACAATACTTACTCCATATTTACATGTGTAATAGATGCTAAATTATACATATTAACAAACTAAGCTTGAATCCAAACAAAACTGTAAATAACTATAAAACAAAAACATTTCCAGAGCCAGAATTAGTTCAACGAAACAGGCTTCACTAGTGTTTAGAACGTTTTGTGCACAAATTCAGTTACTGAAAGTTGATTCTATTATTGCCTTTAAAAGAGAAGGCGCCAATTTTCCTCTCCACTCCAAAACATCTCCCTGTAGGCAGCGTGTTTGACTTTCCTCAAGGGGCAATGTCTCTTGGTGGAATGGCTATCTAGAAGCCACTGCAGTGGCTGCAGCCAAGTTTGGTCAATGGGGTCATTTGGTCATTTCAGAAGGTAGGCAGGGCATGCCCAGAGGACAGGAGGCCTCTGTCATCCTGGCTCTGTCCTAAGGATGGCCAATTCTCACAAAAACCACCACAAGGAAAGATCTCCTGGGATGACGGGTGTGAGTGTGAGGAGTTAGATTTTACTTCTAAAATCTATTTTTAAGTCTCAGTCACTACCCTAGCATTAGCTTAGGTTAGTGTTTAGCAAATACTTGTTGAATGGATGGATGAATAAATGAAATGGAAGGATCAAAGATGTGTATGAAAACACCACCATCTCCCAAGGAAGCGAATCAGCCCCTGGTCCCAATACCCCCAATTAAATCAAAGGAGCGACATTTGCACCGGAAGGTAAAATGCCTCTTCCCGCTGGCAGTGCCCCGCCTGGTCTTTTTATTTCCTGGTGTGTCTCCCGTCTTGAATGGCAGGCCTTACCCACAGGTATTCCAGTACTTTCCTTCTGCTGACAGTCTTCTGTCCAGGGCTGCCTTTCCTCCGGGTTAGCTCAGGGGATCTGAGGTTGCCTTCTCTCCACACAGGGAGGCGCGGGTTTCTCCCCAGGCTGTGTGCAGGGGCAGCAGGGGGCACACAGGAGTCCAGGGTGTGTCAAATTCTCCATGGGGAAATGGGAGCTATTTATCAACAAACCAGCTCCCTACTGCCACCCCCAGTTTTCAGTATAATAAACTGATTCCAGGAAATGGTCATTAAAAATTTAGACAAAACTACAAAAAATGGAGAACCCCCTTTTAGAAAGTCTGATTGCCACAGGTTATAGTCTTTGACTAAGAGAAACATTTCTCAGGACAAGACTGGTCATCCCTCACTACGTAGAGTATTAAGGGGCTGCCGGAAAGGGTCATGATGTGCTTGCAGGGCCAATGGCAGCGGCAGAGATGCCTCTGCTTCCTGAGTCCCCTCAAGGCTGCCGTTTGGATTCCTTGCCTGGTTTTTCTTTTTTTGAGACGAGTTTGGCTCTTGTTTCCCAGGCTGGTGTGCAATAGTGCAATCTTGGCTCACCACAACCTCCACCTCCCAGGTTCAAGCAATTCTCCTGCCTCAGCCTCCTGAATAGCTGGGATTACAGGCATGCATCACCACGGCCAGATGGGGTTTCCCATGTTGGTCAGGCTAGTCTTGAACTCCTGACCTCAGGTGATCCGCCCACCTCAGCCTCCCAAAGTGCTGGGATTATAGGCATGAGGCACTGTGCCCGCCCCCTGCCTGATTTTTCATATACACTCTAACAGATGAGTCCTCTTTTAAGAATTACCTAATTGGTGCCAGATGCATGTGAACACATCAACACGATGGGGATGTGTTTCTTGGCTTTGTTATTCATGTATCGGGGCCTGGCGAGAGGAACTCTTGGAACCTGGATATCCAGCATATGGCACAAAAACAACTTAGGTGAAACTCAGACATTGTTATATTTAATAAAAATACATTAAGATTTTTTCTTTTTTATGTACACTCCAAATGTCTGAACATTCTGGACACTACTGTATAGTTATGTACAAGTGCAAGGTCAGTGTTTTCTGGACTATTTTAATTTATATACAGGCTCTCTTGTGACACGCAACATTGCCAGATGACAACCCATTCCCTCTTGGTAACAGGCTCTCAGCCCAGCGCCTCTTACTCCCTGCCATTCCCTTTTTCTGCCCTGAGGCTGGAGGAAGCTGTTTGCTGTTGGTTGCAAAGGAGAAGCAGGTGGATTCAGCGGTTTCCTCACCGCTGGAGCAGAATGAAACTTCGCTTGCTCCTTCCTTCCTTTTTAAAAATAAACAATATCTTTTAGGAAAAAATTAAGACACAACCAGATGGCTGCCGGTCATTGTGCATGATATTTCAAGGCATAGGACTAACACGGGGAAAGAGACTTCTTTGGCCAAGGAAATGGTCCTCTGAACAAACGAAGAGGATCTTCCTTGCAGGAGGACAATGCCCAGGGCCTCCCTTTTGCCTCACCTGGGGGACTGTGGGAATCGAGGGCCAGTCCACGGCAGGCTCCATGGGTGCTGTGTTCTGTAGCAGGGATGGGGGGCTCATGAGAGGAGGGGTCTTTTTTAGAACGTCTGCTCTTTAACAATAATGTGAAAAACAAGCTTTATGAGAGGTGAGTCTCGAAGTAGAGGTGTTTTGTGCATCAGATAGTGTTTTATGGTTCAACTTCCTTGAAAACATCTTTCCAGTCAATTCTTCATGGGAGTGGGGTTAGTGTTGGGGAAGAGATAATACTCTCTCTCTAGGCACTGCATTTAAAGGTGAAATGCCGCAGTTTTAGCTCTTTTGAGTATTTCTCCAAATTCACAAACTTGAGTATTGCTGTCCAGAGGTCCATCCCAATAGGGTAATGCCAGCAATCCCAGGTTTTGAAGCAGAGGAGAGCTTCTGGGATGCTGCTGCATAATGCCAGAATACAGAGCACCATAAATGGGGAAAACACAATTTCCAGGCAGTGCCCTCTGGGGAGAGGAGCAGGGGACTGTCCCACCCTCTTAAATCTGGTCATTTTCCATTTGGCATAGAGTTTTCCCTCCTTGTCCATTTTTTCCATGTGCTTTTCATCCTTGTCAGCATTTGCTGCCCCCCTCACAGCCACCACCTCCATCTGAGAGGGAGGGTGGGTGGGTGGAGACCTTCCCGAGGAAAAGAGGGCAAACAGGTCCTTCTCCAGGTTTTGGGCAGCTTCCGCCCGACAATGGGAGGCTGTCCCTCTCCTGGCATCTGAATTCACCCAGCCTGAGAATGAACCGCAAGTTCAGAGGAGGCTGCAGGACACACAGCTGCTCTCCGATCCAGGGGTCCCAAGTGTTCTCAGTGCTCTTTTCTGCTCAAGGAAATGTGACATCAATGAGTCCTTTCCTCTGTGCCCTGGCAGGAGGTGGCCAGAGGGCTGATAACTTATCAGGCCTAGGGTGACACTGGGGTGGGGGCAGGGGGCGCCTTGTTGACAGTGTCCTTTTTGACAATAAAAACAGGAGCTTTCACAGTTCATTCATTTCTGCTTTCCTCTCATCCTGCTGCTAGGTCAAACGTCCCTTGGGGTGAGAAAATTCTTTCCTGGCTGCAAATCAGATTTTAGAAAAAAAGCAGATTGCCAATGGTAGCTATTTAAATTTTACAAGAATGTAGGAATGCAATTATGTAAAAACTTAGGCTTACTAACTTTCCAATTGCTAGATCTATTTAAAGTCTAGGCACTTAGTGTTGTGTGTATGTGTGTGTGTACGTGAGGGGGGGGTGAGATGGAGACGGAAAAGGAGAGGGACAGGCAGAGAGAAAGGAAGGAGAGTTTCAAATGGATTAAGACTAAATTAATCAGTTGCTATAGAAAACTACCTATTACACCAGTTTACATTCGAAGTAACACTGCTGACCTTGACATTTAAAATAGCCCCCTTCTGTCCTAGCTTGATATGATCAAAAGAGATGGACCATTATTAATTCTCAACTAGAAGAAAAGGTACTCCCTGGAAGAGAGAGAACTGCCTAAATCGTGCAAGAATAAATAGCACATCTTTTAAAAAAAGATAGCAGGCTTCAGATGAAAACAAGTTAATTCATCTGACTAGTTTTTAAAAGACCATGTTCAAGAACAACTGATGACAAAGTCTACTTGTAAACACTCCATCTTTTGTTTTTTGCACAGTTGAGACAGTCCCAAGAACAGTTTTCCACAGTGAACCTGAGTGTCTTTCCTAGTTCTCTCACTGGCTCTCCACTGGCCTCCTCCAGCAACAATCAGCTCATCCCTGGACCTGTAATTAAATCAAGTATTTCCTATGCAGAAGTAAAAGGTTAGATGCCGGAACACGGATGGGAGAAACCGTCAAAGAAAGCTTGTGATCATGCAGGTGAGTCAGATGCTTCGAGAGTTTCCAGTCTTCTGCCCCGCACCGCACAGCCATTTCCCCGCCTCGCCCTTCCCTGCAGACGGCTCTGGTGTGCCACTCACTCGCTTGTGTGCGGGAGATCCCTGGCCCCAGCATCAGATGCAGGTACCAGGCTGTGCAGGGGGCTGCTGCTTCCGGTTTCTCACGGCGCCTGACTTCTCTTTGTATATTATCGGCATCTGCTGAGAAATGTCCACGAGGGCACTGGCCACAGCAAGACCTTGGGAGAACCCACAGAGAGAACTTATGTTGGGAGCAGCTGGCTTTTATTTTGTTTTTAAAAATAACTTAAACATTTATTTTTCAATCCCATGATGCAAAAAAAAAAAACACAACAAAGAACCCCCAAAAGGTCCACATACACAGGAAAAAATATTCCTTCCACCCTGTCCCTCCCTCCACCTGCTCCTCCATCTGGGTAAATGCTTTCACTAATTTTTATGTTTTCTTTCAGTGTTTACTTATGCAAATACAAATACGTATTCTTCTCCCTTACCCATTTTTTACACAAAAGGTGTAGTTTGCCTTTCAGCACATCAACCAAGCGCAGTGCTCTGCCTGGTGGTGGGAACATACAAATGAGACTGCAGACATGTGCTAAGTGCCCAATTTCTCTTGCCTGCCTCCAAAAGGAGCCAAGAAAAAGCAGCACGCTTTATTATGAGATTCAGATTCATCCCACATCACTCAGTCAGCATTAGTCGCTTCCTTTCCATACCATGATACAGAGCAGGGCAGGCTCTGGGGCCAGGCTTTCGAATAAGCAAGGTTCTTTAACCTCCCTGTGCCTCAGTTTCCTCATCTGTAAAATGGGGATAATAATAGCACAGGGCTAGTGTGAAGAGTCAATGAGTGAACTGACATAAAGTCTTAGCACCTGGCAGGCAGCAATGATCAACAGCAATTTCCCTTTATGCTAATCACTGCCCCGCCCCCCCCCCCCCCACCCCCTTTGCTTTGGGGACTTGCAATCCCATTTTCCTTCCTGTATTGGTAACGGATTAATCTGGCATCCATTAGGGAAGGCACAGTTCTTGGGGAGCTGGATTCCTAACACACGTGGGAAATGGCTACCGCAGGCTTGGAGCTCTGCTGAGACCCACCAGGAGCTGTGTTAGCAGAGTGTGTTACTCACTTTGCTGAGCCTGTGAAGGGGAGCAGGGGTGGGGGAAGACAGCTG